GCGGCGTGGGGGGGGGGGGGGGGGCCGAGGGAGAAGGAAGGCCACAGAGACTTGCTTCTGCCACAGAACTTTGGGCAACTTATTTGGCTCTTGCTACCACTTCTTCGTCTGTAAATAAGGGCTTTCCTTGAGCTCCTGTACAGGAGAACCCTGACCTGGAATCCCTCCTGCAGCTATCCACAAGGCCTGCAACAAGTCTTTTAAATGTTTGTGTTTAGTTTTTTTTAGTTTTAAGAATGTATTTATTTTGTATGTTCATGCACATATGTACACACACATGTAGAGGCCAGAGGTCAGCACTGGTGTCTTCCTCAGTGTGGCAGACCTCTTGTTAAAGTTTTTATTTGTGTGTGTGTCTGTCTATGTCTGTTTACATGGCTGTCTGCTGAGACCAGAAGAGCCCTTGGAGCTGGAGCTATAAGTGGTCATAATCCATGGGTGTGGGTGCTGGGAACTGAACTCAGGTCCTCTGGAAGAGCAGTGTGTGCCTGTAACTGCTGAGCCATCTCTCCCATCCTCTGCCTTATTTTCTGAGACCAGTTCTCTCACCCTGAAGTTTACTATTTGGCTAGATGGGTAGGGCAGCCAACACCAAGGGTCCGTCCTCATCTCCGCCTCCTCTGTGCACTGGGATGCAACTGCACCTGCTCTTTTTGGTTTTCCGAGACAGGGTTTCTCTGTGTAGCTTTGGAGCCTGTCCTGGAACTCTCTCTCTAGACCAGACTGGCCTCGAACTCACAGAGATCTGCCTGCCTCTGCCTCTCTGCACTGGATTAAAGGCGTGCGCCACCACTGCCTGGCGGCACCTGCCCTTTTTGAAGTGGGTGCTAGGGATTTAAACTCAGTTCCTGCTGCTTGCACGGCATGACTTGGCTGAACCGTCTCCCATGCCCTACCGTGTCTTTTGCTCCTCACTTCCTTGCTGTATGAAATGCTGCCTAGTACCTCACCCACATAGGCAAGTGCTCCACCCCAGAGCCACGCCCCAGTGGTAGCCTGCCTCTCAGGACTGCAACACCTCACAGGCCTCACTCTCGCTTGCCTTGCTGCAGGTCCCAAAACGAGATGCCCTCCATCGTGGTACAGAGCCCCATGAACTTGCTCAAGGATGCCTGCAATGCTGTCCCTTTCAGCTGGAGGATCAGGGACTACCTGGAGGAGCTCTGGGTGCAGGCACAGTATATCACAGACACAGAGGGTGAGCTACCCCACGGCAGGCAGGCAGGCTCAATGCAAGGCACAAGAATTAACCTGTTCAGGGCAGGGCAGCTTTGGAGGTTTTAGCTTTAACACTCTGGACATGGAGTAGCCTCCAGTATGGTGTTTTAAAATTCCTGTTGAAGGGCTGATGAGATAGCTCAGGGGGTTAGGGCACCTGGCACCAAGCCCGACAATCTGAATTCAATCCGTGCTATCTACATGTCAGGAGGAAAGAACTGCCTGCCCCAGGTTGTCCTTTGACCTCCACACATGTGTGGTGATACATGTGAGCACGTGCACGCACACACACGTGCACAAATGCTCGTGACCATAAATTAAAGCTCTGCTGAAGGTGCAAGTCGCCATCAAGGGTCATGAGCGTAGGTGACATGACTTTTAGTCACTGTTTGGGGTCATGACATAATGGGTCATGTCACATCAGGGAAAGAGCTTGCTTCCTGGAATAGGAATGTTATTTTCATCTGAGGCTCCTGTACAACTCAGGTGGCAGCCTTGGGAAATGTCCCCATTGTGGAATTCTATCAGGAAATGCTAGCGGCCAGAGCAGAGCATCCTTCTCCATGTGGAGCCATCAGGCCCTCCCAGTCACAAAGTACCTTGCTGTCAAACACAAGGGATTTGACCATTGTCCCTCTAGAAAAAAATGACAGCCTAAAACCCTGTGAAAAGTTGTTTTCTGCAAGAAGTCCTCCCCTCAGCACTCACCTGGGTACTCTGAGCTGGCCTTGTTTTCCCAGATTAGCACTGTGCCATTCCCTTTGAACCACCATGAAGCAGACCCCTGAGGAAGCACCATCTCTTTTCCTGAAGACAGCCCATCTGCCCCTGCTGTGAGCACAGCTGTGGGAGGCAAAGCACTGGTTGGTGTAGCCTCTTACTCCAGCCTGAGAAGCAGCCCACCCTCCTAACTCACCTGGAACTCTAGACAGAACACAGCTGTCAGACACAGGGGTGTTGCAGGTGTTTTCTCCCCTTGGGGCTGGCTTGGCTGTTTGTACCCTTACATTAACACTGGTTCTGCCTCTAATTGTTTTCCCTGCTGTCTGGCCCGTGCCCAGGCAGCCAGCACCACTTTGTCTCTGGGCTCCAGCCCAGGACAGCCACCCCTCCAGCCTGGGTATAATGGCTCCTTCTCGGGGCAGTGATCTCTTTCTTCCCTAGACTCAAGGTTTCATGTCGCTCACACCGCCCTCTGCCTTCTTCTCTGTAGGGTTATCTAAGAAGTTGGTGGAGATTTTCCAGAAGACTCCCCTGGGCAGGTTTTTGGCTCAGCTCCCTGTGGCACAGCAGCAGGATATCCTGCAGAGATACTTGAAGGACTTCCTGCTTTTGACCATGAAAGTGGCTTCACGGGAGGAGTTAAAGGTAGGCATGGATCCTATGGACAAGAGCCCATCCTCACCTCAGCCACAGTGTTGCCAAATTAGGACACCCTTAGAGCTCCATGGGACACCCGGTCTCCACTCCGGGCCTTCTAGAACTAAACCTTATGTCACATGAAGGAGTTCTAAGATCTCTCTGTAGCTGCCAGCATAGTGGCATGCATCTGTAATCCCAGATAAACTATAATCTATACCTATACTTGGGAGGTAGAGGCAGGAGGAACAGCAGTCCAAGACACAATAAGTTCAGGACCAGCCTGGGCTACATAAGACCAACAACAACAACAACAACAACAACAACAACAACAAATTCAGTAGAAAGATTGATGCATTTGACTGCCCCAAATCTTCATACCTCATTGCATAGGTACAAATTTGTAGGTAAAGTCTAATACAGTTCTTCCTAGGAATCACTAAGGATTTGTGAAACTTAGTAAGTCTCCTGCTGATAGAAACAATGAGGATGTCTAAATGTACTGCACTAAGACCCTAAAAGAGAAATTGGGGAGCCAGATGGTGGTGGCCCACAGTTTAATCCCATTATTTGGGAAGCAGAGGCACGGGGATCTTTGTGAGTTTGAGGTCAGTGAGGAAAAGGACCATAAAACTTCACCAAAAGGCAGCCAGGTGGTCATGGGCCTGATTTTTAAACTTTCTTTTTTACAGCTTTTGAATCCTATGATTTTCCTTAGGGCAGCATGTCTTCATCATGTAAAACTGAAATTGTTTTGTCTCCAGTGTCTGCAGATGGCGCTGTGGTCCTGCCTCCAAGAGCTCCGGGCGGCTTCAGGAGAGCCTGAGGAAGGGCTCTCCTTGCCCTGGGTGCACCTTGCCTACCATCACTTCAGGACCCGGCTGCAGAACCTCTCCAGATTGTTGACGATCCACCCCCAGGTTCTGGAAAGCCTCCATGAAGCAGCACAGACGCACAGCTTGGCTGCGAGTGAAATGGTAGGGGTCTCCCCCGGAGAGGGCCCCCTGGGTGCCCTCAGTGAGTGCTTCCGTGTGATGGGCCTGGAGGAAGGATGCAGGGCGGTATTGAAGGGTGTTGGTGGAGAAGAGGACCCTACTGGGTCACAGGCCCACTCTCCTTGTTCCAGACACTAGATGCCTTTGCAGCAGTGGCCTGTGTTGAAGTGCTGAAGGGCAACATCCTGAAGCCGAGCCCCAGGGCCTGGGTCCACATGGTGAAGAACCTGTCCATGCCTCTGGAGCTTGTCTGCTCCAGCGGGTATTTGCAGGGCTGTGGGAACAAAACCAGGGCCGTCGTCCAGGAGGTCAGGTGAGCAGCAAGAGCCTGCCTCTGTGCAGTGCTCACCCCTGGGACCTGCCAACTCCTACAGCCTGATGAGGAAGGTGGGCAGGAGAGACATCACCTCACTCTGGACCCTCTCCCAAGTGCTGGCTATCTATCTCATTTGATTCTAGAGACTTAGGAAGAAACAGTCCTGAGAGTACTAGCAAGTGGACATGTTACAAAGCAGGCAGAGTTGAAAGGAAAGCAGGGTCAGGCTGAGCAAGTAGAGAAGGGGCAGGCTGTCAGCCCTACGCTGAGCTTGCAGGACCAATGCCTGTTGGGTCTTCAGTGAGCCTGTGTTTGGAAGAGTGGGGAGCTTGTCTGCAACAGTGCTGTGCAGGGAAAGTCCCGTCCCTCATGTCCGCCTCACCTCTTAGCCTCTGCTCAGCTCCTGCTCTCTCCTCCTGTGTCTCAGGCTCCTATCAGATCTCACTGCTAACATCCCTCTCTTGACAGAGCCCTGTGGAATCGCATTTTCTCCATTGCACTCTTTGTGGAGCATGTTCTCCTGGAGACCAACAGCCAGATTCCTGAGCTGAGTCAGCTGGTAACCACCTCTGTCTTCTTACTTGACAAGGTGAGTGCTGGACTTAAGTAACAGTTGCCTGACTCTGAGCAGTGTGAAGAGCTAAAACCCCCAGGACAGTTTCCTCTGGTTGGTGCATCATTGCTCTGGCAGGTTTATAGCTATGCGACAGATCACTGTATTCTTTTGTTTGTTTGGTTGGTTTTTCAAGACAGGCTTCTCTGAGTAGCCTTGGCTGCTCCTAGAACTCACTCGGTAGAACAGGCTGGCCTCGAACTCACAGAAATCCGCCTGCCTCTGCCTCCTGAGTGCTGGGATTAAAGGCGTGTACCACCAATGCCTGGCCCCATTGCCATATTTTTAAAACTGCGCCAAAGTGCACATTACATGAAGCATGTCATTTAAGCCACACACACTCAGTGACACTGAGCACATCCACACTACAATGCAGCCATCCTCACCATCTAACCCCTGAGCTTTATCATCTTCCTACACAGAAACTGTCTCCATTAAAGACTCTCCATCCCTCCATCCCTCAGCTCCCTGCATTCTGTCTCTGTGAACCCCACCAGCACTGGTGCCTCTTGGGAGCAGAACTTGCAGTATTTGTCTTTTGGCAGAGTGTGTCAGAATTCTCTTCCTTTTAAGGTCAAGTGTAATTGTTCTTTTGTGACTGAGCCCCCAGAGCTGATGGTCCGTTTGTGGACATCTGGGCTGCTTGCACCTTTTGGTCACTGTGAACAGCCGGGAACTGAAACATAGAAGTAATCGAGCCCCGCCCCCACTCCGCTGGACATGCCGCTCATTTGTTTAATTCGGCGTTTAACCTTTAGAGCAGCTGCTGTGCTTTTCCCACACTGACATCTCTACCAGCAACATATGGCTTTCAATTGCTCCTCCATCTCCTGGCCAGCACTCATTCTTGCCCACCTTTTGTAGGACAGCCATCTGAAGTGTGGGAGTGCGGTGAGACACGGTCACTCTTGAGTGTGATTGAGTGTCCTTAATGACCAGGACAGAGCACCCGGGGCACCCTGTGTCTCTTCTTAGGAGAGATGTTTAGGTCTTTTGCCTGTTTCTCAATTTGACAGTTGATTAACCAGTCAAATTTACTGGGGCATAAAAACACAGTATTCCTAATTATGATTAATATTAGGAATTCAAGGATGGCTCAAATATTAAATGTTGCCAATGATATAATTTAAAAGATTGGTGGTGGCACACGCCTTTATTCCTAGCACTTGGGAGGCAGAGGCAGGTGGATCTCTGGGAGTTCTAAGATACAGCCTGGTGTATGGAGTGAGTTCCAGGACAGGCTCTAAAGCTATTCAGAGCAACCCTGTCTTGAAAAAAAAAAAGATAAACTAAGTGATTTAAAAAGAAATAAAGTGTTTAATAAGATCATTTAGGGGAAAAAGTACTCTTGGCAAATCAGGAACTCTCCTTAATCTCAGGCTGTCCAGTGGAATATTTAATATGAAAACACATTTAACACAAAATGTCTGACCTTGGCTCACTGTGTTTCCTACCAAGCAGAAGTTCCATTGTAAATATACAGCCTAGTGACAGGTCTTAATTACTCTGAAGGTGACATATTCAACAACATTCAGGACATTCAAAATCCTCAAGCATGCCGAACCTGTAATGCCCGTTAACTGGAGAACAGGCAGCAGGCATATACCCTGAAGAGCTTCCACAGAGCCCTTACAGTGAGAGACCTGCACAGATGACGAAAGGGACCGTGTGGCAGTCTACCTGCAGAGCAATGGCCTGGTGCACAGCATTAGAGCAGGCAGGACACTAAAGGGCATTTGCCTTGTCCTAAGAGTAGATTCTCAGGGGTGTGGGAGTGATCAAAAAAGGGCTCTTAAGTTTTTTAATAAATTATTTTTTTATTTTATATGCATTGGTGTTTTGCCTGCATATATGTGTGTGAAGGTGTCAGATCCCTGGGACTGGAGTTACAGACAGTTGTGAACCAAAAGGCTTGATTCCCCCCAAACTAGCAGTTCTTTTAAGGGTTAGTGGTATATACACAGCCAATCATTACATTATTATTTACAAGTCAAAATATCTCAAAATTTCTCTGAAAGAGAAATAAGTGAGCGGGGTGGTGGTGGCACATGCCTTTAATTCCAGCACCTGGGAGGCAGAGGCAGGTGGATCTATCTCTGTGTTGAAGCCCAGCCTGGTCTACAGAGAGAGTTCCAAGATAGTCAGGGCTATACAAAGAAACCCTGTCTGGAAAACCTTTAAAAAACAAAACAAAACAAAACGGGGGAATAGGGAAAATTCAGAAGTTGTGAATTTCGTCCTTTAAAGGGCAGCACAGTCAGCACAGTCAGGGAGATGGAGGAGCAGGGGAGGAACTGGGTTCAATCCCCAGAACCCATACAGAAAAGCCAGGGATTGTGACTTGTGACCCCAGCATTGGGAAGGTGAAGTCAGTAGATCCCTGGGGTTCTCTGCCTGACCATCCCATTTAAGCAAGCTTGAGACCAGTGGCACACAGTCTTTAAAAACTAGGGGTGGGCCGGGCGGTGGTGGCGCCTGAGTCCTAAGGTTGTCTGGCCTCCAGTTTCCACACATGCGTGTGGATGTACACAGATGAAAAGCACAGTCACAAAAAGGACACTTAGGGACAGTGAGATGACTCAGTGGATAGAAGTTCCACCAAACCTGACAACTTGAGTTCACACAGATAGAAAAATAATATGTTGTAATTTTAATTTTGTTTCAAGTTTTACAGGACACTTTAAATGTGGGATTTATTTATTTATTTGAGACAAGGTCTCACTGTGTAGGTCCGGCTGTCCTGAAACTCTGCTCTGTAGACCAGGCTGGCCTTGAACTCACCAGATCTGCCTGCCTTTGCCTCCTGAGTGCTGGGATTAAAGGCTATGCCTGCCATAATTAATTTTTATTTTATGTGCATGGGTGTTTTGCCTGCATGTGTGTCTGTGTACCACATGCATGCCTGGTACCTGAGGAGGCCAGAGAGGGTGTCACATCCCCTGGAACTGGAATTACAGGTGATTGGCACTCAAACCATGGTCCTCAGGAAGAGCAGCCAGTGTTATTAACTGCTGAGCCCCCGCTCCAGACCCCCCAAGTGCGAAACTTCCTAAAGGAAGCATCAAATGAGCCTAGTGCTGTAGGCTCGCCATAGTTAGGACCGCGCGTCATCAGCCACCCAGACCGTGCTGTTGAGTGGCACCCCCACTGCTCACCACTGCCCTTCTCCTCAGTGTCTTCAAGAGAACTCAGACCTCAAGACCTACAGGCCATTTGTGGCTGTAATGGAGGTGCTCTGTGAGTGCAAGGACAAAGTCAGCAGGACACTCAGCAGGTGAGAGAGTGAGGAGAGCGTTTGCTGACTGCAGTGGGGTGGGAGACCTGTTCCGCGCCACAGCGCTTTTCAACTCTGGACTTCATTGTCTTCTTGGGTTCTAGGTTTGGTGTTCAGCCATGTCACATCTGCCTGGAAGATGCACAGGACCCTGTCTGCCTGCCTTGTGATCACGTATACTGCCTACGTTGCATCAAAACCTGGCTCGTCCCAGGGCAAATGGCATGCCCCTACTGCTTAACTGACTTGCCAGACAAATTCTCGCCGACTGTTTCTCAGGAACACAGGTAAGATGGCCTTTCTCTTAAAGCTTCCTTCCTCTTCTTCCCAATACGGTCTTCGGAGATGCCAACTCTTCCTTCAATCAGCTTTCCCTGGCTAAAAGGGCTGGCTTCAGAGAGTATTCATAAGCAATGCCAGAAGCTAGCCTTCCTGGACATCTGCCTCAAAATTCCTTTTCCAAATAAGATGGGCACAAACACGGAGACAGCAAACTTAGGGGAAATAAACCAGAAAGTCATTAATAATGTCCTTGAAAGAAAACCAAGCACGTAGGTGCAGCTTGGCATCTTTTAGTGGGGAGGGCTGGGATAATGCCAGGGATGGAACAGAGCTCAGCGTGTGCCCTGCCACTCACCCATGTCCCTGCGTGTCCATCACCTGCCCTCTTTGTATGTATATGTGTTCATGTGCATGGGTGTCCGTGTGTCCAGAGATCAGTATCAGAATGTCTTCTTGATCACTGTCTACCTTGTCTTTGGGACAGGGGCACTTCACTAACCCTGGAGTTCATCTCTCTGCCTGGCTGACCAGCCAGTGAGCTCTAGGGTCCTGCCTGCCGCTTCCCTCACATCCCTACTGCTGAGTTCCTAAGTGCAAGGCAGGTCCTTTACTATAAGAGCACCATCTGCCCAAATCCTCATCTGTCCTCTGGATGTGTGAATGCAGCCGTATTCTCTGACTGAGGATGGGAGCAGATCTCACCCAGCTATCAAGAGATGCAGGAGCAGAGCCCCCAGGCTCCACGAGCCTCGGTAGCCCAGACCCTGCTCCCACACTCTTCCCCACACTCTAGGACACTCAACAGTCCAAACACTGACAGTGTTCCTGAAGCAGTCTTGACACTGTTGTAGTTTTGACCATTGTAAAGTCATCGAATTTGCTGATAAAAAAAAAAAAAAAAAGCTAGCCTAGTTTAAAACCCAACAATTAGAAGACTGACATAGAAAAATCGCCATGAGTTCAAGGTCAAATAAACAAAATACTATTCAAATATCACTCTGTCTAGAAGGATTGGAAATGAATTCTTACAAGTCTTTTGTCACAATCTCCCCCCACCCCCCAGAAAAGCCATCGAGAAGCACGCCCAGTTCCGTCACATGTGTAACAGCTTCTTCGTGGACCTGGTCTCCACCATGTGCTTCAAGGATGACACCCCTCCTCAGGAGAGCGTGATTGACAGCCTGTTGTCCTTACTCTTCATACAAAAGGAGCTGCTGAGAGATGCTCCCCAGAGTGAGTGGCCTTCTCCCCATAAATGTACAGACGGGTTTCCGCTCAGGTCTGTACTGTGACATCAACTACAGCCCCCTTCTCTCTGGCTGCAGAGCACCGTGAACACACAAAGTCTCTGTCTCCATTTGGTGATGTTGTTGACAAGACTCCTGTCATCCGCTCTGTGGTACTAAAACTGCTTCTCAAGTACAGGTCAGTGGCCCTTGTCTGGGGCTTTGTGTCCCTTTGCTTCTCTGTGGCTCTGTCTTGGCTACACCATGGCTGGGAGTTCATCTACAGGCCAGAGGAGCTGCCCAGTCTGTGTGAGCAAACCCAGTTCACTTGAAGGTTGTGTGCATGTCATTCCCTCACGGGCTCCTGAGTATGGCCGGCAGCAAGTGAACCTTAGCAAGAGCCATGGTGTGCTTCTGGCCCCAGCTCCTGTGACCCAACCTTGTGACACGTGACTTGCTGTCCCCCACTCTCTGTGCTCTGGTGTTCTGCATGTCTGTGTTCTACTGAATGGGCTATGCCAGACTGAGCAGGACACACCCCTGTCCTCTGTGACAGATGTGCTGACCCAGAGCTGCTGCTCTCCAAGTGTCCATGTAGTCCCAAGCTCCAACTTTTTCTAGAGTTCTATCCAGGCACTTCCGGCGTTTTTCAGGTACATGCAAGGGCATTACTTAAGGGGTGCTGGAGACAGTTTGGAGTCAAGGCCCTGGTTTCCTTCACCAATGAGCACAAGAGTTGTTGAAAATGCAAGCTTACCTCACTTGCTTTCCTAAACCATGACCCTTAAGGTATGACTTGACACTGTTCTGTGGGGACTGAAAGTGCTCATGGACCCTGGAGAATGGCAAGCAGAGCACAGCGGTCACCCTACAGTCATGCAGAGTTGCCCTGAGTTAGGAACCAGCTGATTGTTTCCGGTTAGGCCATCTGGGCCTGGAAGAGCAACTGCAGGAGCACAGAACTGGGTCTGCTGGCATTTTCTTGAGAACAGAGTGACCCTGTCATTGTTAAACACTATGGTATTTGCTGCCAGTGATACGGTTTATATATTTAAGTGAAAATTTAAATTTTAGGCAAACTTGTATCCTCCACTTGTAAGATCTGAAATTCTTTTTGAACAGATCTGTGGTGATATAAATGACTATATTATAGGGTATTTTTTCCAGTGCATTCTACAATAAAAATGTAGTAATAGTGCAAAGACTTTCCAAATGACCAGTGCTTGGTGTCACAAAATCATGTGTACCCTGTGGTGATATTTTGTTTATGATCTAATAAAGCTTAACTGAAGATCAGAGTGCAAAGCTAACCACAGCCATAGAGACCAGGCAGTGGTGGTATACAATTTTAATCCTAGCACTCAGGAGACAAGGGCAAATGGATGGTTGTGAGTTCAGTGCCACCCTGGGCTACCTGCCCAGCTGGGCTAGGTGAGTCAGTCTAAAAGAGAAACAACCCCAGCACTAGGGAGGTGGAGACAGGAGTGACGTGGCTGGACGGAGAGAGGAGCGTAAGGCGGGAGGGGACAGGAGCTCATTGCATTCTCAGTGAGCAGTGCGGTTTGGAGCGGCAATCAGAGGACACAGTCGCCGCCCGGGTCTGAGCAGTAGAGGTGAGAACGCTTTGCTTCTCTGGTCTTCAGCTTCAACCCCAATATTATTCCTGTTACAGCACCCCCCACCCAAATCCAGGGGCTAGGAATGCAGTTTGGGAGAGTGCTTGTTTGGCACATAGTAGGCTCTGGGTTGGAGTCTCGGGGGGTGGGTGATGGGTATTCCCATAAACTGACATAACCAGGAACAATGCGTCTCTTTCCACAGCTTCCATGAAGTAAAGGATTACATCCAGAACTACTTGACCCAGTTAGAGAACAAAGCATTTCCAAAAGATGACAAAACAGAACTGTACCTGCTGTTTATCAACTGCCTGGAGGTATGCTGGTTGTCCCTGCATTTCTTTGAAAACTGTGAGCCATGGGGTGCACACAGTGAGAACATTTCTGAAAACCAACAGGGGCCATTGTAGTCGGCACAATTAAGAGGTACTTGGTCCTGTGTGACCGCCACCTCAGTTTCTATATAGTTATGAGTTTCCTGATAGTGTTCAGTACGTCCTGTCCCTCAGGGGCCACCGTGAAGTGATACACTTAGTGATGTCCAAGCAGTCTTCATTCTACTGTGACTCTGATGTTTGCTCAGTTGAGTTCCCAGTGATGCATTTCTCAGACAGCGATGCACATATTGCCATTTACTCCACAGAACAACAGCACCACAGGCTGGAGCAGCCACAGAATTGGCAGTGGCCACTTCAGCTCGTCATGGACACCTTCTATCACCCTCATATTAATTACACATTTTCCCTTGTAAGTTTGCTTATCCTCATCCTTCTTGCTGTCACATAGAAAGGAATGCTAGTTTTCCATGATTCCAAAAAATGTACACTACCGCTTTCCACAATACTGTCTTTCCCATGACTCTCCACAGACATGCTGTGGCAACTGTCAAAGACAGGGGCTTGCTGATATAGACTAATGCCCTGGTCTCTATGTCCTTCCTTCCTCAGGACTCAGTCCATGGGAAGACAAGTGCTGGTTGTAGAAGTCACAAGCAGGACCTGGGAGAGGAAGGCCATTTCCTTAGGACATATTCCCCAGGAAGGCTAGGCCAAGAGCCCGCCAGCACAGCTTCAGTGGAGTACCTGCAGGAGGTAGCCAGAGTGCGCCTCTGCCTTGACTTGGCTGCTGACTTCCTCTCAGAGCTCCAGGAAGGCTCAGGCAAGTCTCTTTCGCAGAGACCCTCTAACTCAGAAGTCTGGGGACTATGGGAAACCTGCTCTTTGGACATAGCTGTCCTCTTCCCTTTCCATGGGATTGTAAAGAACAGGCGAGGGCCTCTGGCTGGTTTTGTGTTCTGGAGAAGACGTTGTCGCCTCACTGTGTCTCCCCTGTCTCACAGAACTGGCTGGAGATAAGCAGTGCTTCCTGAAGCATGTCGAGCAGTTCTGCACCCGTGTCAAGAATGATTGGCACCGTGTGTACCTGGTGAGGAAACTCGCAAGCCAGCGTGGGATGGAATTCGTGCAGAGCTTCTCCAGGCAGGGCCATCCATGCCAGTGGGTATTTCCCAGGGGTGTCATCCAACAGCAGGTGAGGAGCAGTGTCTTGGGCATGGAGGTCATGCTTCTTACAGCCCTGCTTGCAGCATACTCTGGCTGGATTTGGGGTGAAGCTCAGTGTGCTGGCCACCTGAGCCCTCCGCTGTCCAGATGGGAAATGGGCCTTTGCCTCTGCTTTAGCATGAGTTAACCCACCCCACCACAGTGGGGTATGCGTGTGTCCATGCGTGTGTGTGTGTGTGTGTGTGTGTGTGTGTGTGTGTGTGTGTGTGTACATGTTCTGGTGTGTTCATTTGCATTTTATTTAGGTTTGTTTTCTTGTTTATCTAGCTGGATACATGGAAGGTGAATGACTGTTTCTGCCCTATGTCCTTTCTACCTCTGGCAAGTGGAAAAGAACAGGAAGGCAGAGATGAGCAATGACTGAGACATGGGTTTTGTGGTTTTTGTTTGTTTGTTTGTTTGTTTTTTATGGCCTCGCTCTAGCACCCATCTTGGTTGTCAGAAATCGGTTCTTACTGTCCTGGGACTGTAAAGTGGCACTAACAATGCTGGCCTTTTCATTATCCTTTCTTCATTATTATCATAATCATCACTACTGGGGCTTAGAAGCGACAGAGTTTTTGTTGCCTGGGCTCGATACTGTGCCGTGAGTGGAGAAAGCAAGCAGCTACAATGTCAGTACAGGCCCTTCCCAGGCTTCCAGTCCATAGAAGACACAGATTAACTCCCAAAGATAGCTAGTCAGGTGTCCCTGCTCGTCCACCTCCAAGTCTTGGAGGATAGCCTAGTGCTTTTGTCTAAGTTCTTTTCAAAATACGGCTCATATTATCCCCACTGTGATTAACTCCCTGTACTACTGGGATTACAGAGGGATGACAGAAGTCAGATGGACCGATATCTAGTCCATGGTGATGAATACAAGGCTCTTCGTGATGCAGTGGGCAAAGCTGTGCTTGAGTCTAAGACCCTGGACATTGGGACTGCTCTGATGGTAAGATGCGTCTGGGCTTCTCTCTGGTACCAGGAGACAACCCCTGGAGGCCTGCATCTTCCCATGCAAACATCAACTGAGTAGCCCCCTGGAGTGACACTGTACTAGAGACCAGATGAGTGCCTCCTGCCCTACACAGGGAACTGAGGACTAGAACGGAACAGTGATACTTGAGTTAGCCTCTCATAACTGAGACCCTAGGGAATAGCTGCTCCAGGCTCACTCATTCCTCACAAATTCCTCTGTATAGTCATGGTTCACACATGCTCCTGACTGTTATGATAGTAATGCCAAGGCTTTAGAGTTCCGACCTTGAAACTGTTGTGACTCTCTTCCTGGTTGAGTCCCTTCTCACTCTGCCATTGTGCTGGGAAGAGGACATAGACCCTCTGTCTCTGCTTAGGACATGTTTCTGATGCTGGTTGCTTAGCAATGAGTGTGAACCATGGAACCCCTAAGCTGTGGCCAGGAAATGCCTCTCCCACCCTCAGACATGTGGTCCGGGGTCAAGGGCCTAAGAAGAGCCATGTAACCTCTAAATTTCATTTGATGTTTTTGCCTCTGCAGGCCTGCAGAAGCTCCAAAGCCCAGCAGACGGCCTACTTACTGCTGGCCTTGTACAGAGAGGTGGCTTCTTTGTACCGTTCTTGCAATGCCAACCTCCATCCAAAACCAGAGGTGAGCAGCACTGCACGGCAGGGCTTGTGTCCACAGCCTCATCTCTTTGAGGGATTTCTGGATTAAAGTCATAAACACAAACTATGCCCATAATTCCCTGTCTATGATAGAGGTTTCCAACCTTACCAGATGGGAGATCTATTTTCACTTTTGCCAGAGCTTGCAGAGTTACAACTAAAATTTAGTTTAAGACTATAAGATAACGTGGGGCTGTTTCCATGCAAGCAAGGTCTCTTCTCTGAAGAATGCCCTTTAATTGCTGATTGTTCAGCCACATTTACTTTGATATTTGGTCCTAAGCACAAACTATGAAATCACAGTGTTGTTTTGGTTTGGTTTTGTTTTTTCTGTAGTGCTTGGGATAGTATTGTGCATGCTGGGTATGTATGTATATGTCATACAGCATCTCAGAGCATGTCTGTCTGTTGGATTTGGGGGGGTTGTTTTTTTGTTTTTTCGAGAGAGGGTTTCTTTGTATAGCTTTAGAACCTGTCCCAGAATGTGCTCTGTAGACCAGGCTGCTGGAATTAAAGGCATGAGCCACCACTGCCCAGCTCTGTTTTTGTTTTTTGAGACAAAGTCTTGCTGTGCATGTGCAGCCCAGGCTGGCCCCAAACTCATGACATTCCTTCCTCCGCCTTCCAAGTTTACATTACCACACCCATGTACAGGGTTTGGGTTGGGGTGGAGTGTTTCTTTGCTTTTTTTGTTGTTTTTTTTTTTGTTTTTGTTTTTTATTTTTTATTTTTTATTTTTCAAGGCAGGGTTTCTCTGTGGCTTTGGCGGCTGGCCTGGAACTAGCTCTTGTAGACCAGGCTGGTCTTGAACTCACAGAGATCCACCTGCCTCTGCCTCCCGAGTGCTGGGATTAAAGGCGTGCACCACCACTGCCCAGCTGTTTCTTTGCTTTTTGATACGGGTGTCATGTAGTCTGGGCTAGTCTTACACTTTTGATTCTCCTATCTCTACCTCCCAAATGCTTAGGCATGCACCACTATGCCCAGACCTACAATGTTGTTTTGAAACATGTTAATGTTAAAACATTTTTCTCATCAGCAATGCAAGGCTATGCACAAATTCATTGAGGAAAGCAAGATCCTTTCTGTTCCTAACATTGGACCCTTTGCAAAATCGCTAGTGGATGATGCCCTGCCCCTGCTGCGGACTAGGTCTGCTAACAGCAGCCTGGAAGGAACAGTGACTGAAATGGCCGTCCATGCTGCAACCATATTCCTGTGTGGACAAAACAAAGTCTTGGGGCCCCTGAGGACCTTGGCCTTCCATCCGGCCAAGATGGCAGTAAGATCACTTCAGTTTTCCCTCTGTATCTTCAGGGCTTCGTCCCTGTGAAGAACAAACCTGTAGACTTGGGAACTGTTAAACCCATTACTTTTCTTTATTTTAATCCATCTGCCCACAGTGGTGGTGAAAACACAGCCTGCCCTTTGCTGTCTCTCACAGACTCCTGAGCATTATATCAGTCAGGCTTAGGCTGGTTCCTGTGATACAGTCTGCGTACTTCAATAATGGCTGTCTTCACACTGAGAGGCTTCTTAGTCCATGAGGCCTCTGTAGTCCCATTCTGACACTGAAGACCTAGAGGATTCCTGGAGAGACACTGATGTTGGTGACAGATGGCAGCAGCAGCAATAGGAAGATGAGCTCATTAGTAATGCACAAACAGTAGATGAGCGCAATGGGAAGGCAAACAGGAAATAGCAAAGCTTTTCCCTAGGACCTCCTATATGGAAAGGTGCCACTTCAAATAACCAGATTATGAAAATCCCTCATAGGTATGTCCAGCAGCTTATCTCTTGGCTGATTCCAGATCTTATCAGACTGACAGCCAAGATTACCTAGGCATCCCTGACAAATAGTTTTAAGGCTGAGAAGTACAGGTCCTGCTTGCTCTGGCCTCTGGCTGTAAGGATGCAGTCACACTTAACATGACCTGTCTGATTTTGGTCTTTCAGAATGCTTTTCTTCCAACAATGCCTGAAGACCTGCTGGTTCAAGCCAGGAGTTGGGCGGGCCTGGAACATGTCTCCTGGTACAGTAAGTGCTGACATCATGCTCCTCTGAGCACAAATGATCGGCCTGGGAGTACACAAGCCTCCAGTTGTGCTTAGGATCCACAGTTGCATGTGGTGGCTTGCAGGACAACAGTGCTTTACAGGATCCATGATCTGCTTGCCATGTGGCCCTAACCCTCTTACACCTGAGTCCAGGCAAAGGGCCCTTTGCAGTATACTTTCTGGAACATGCCATGGTGGTGAAGAGGGGCTTGAACCACACTGAAACAGAACACAATAAGATAGCTCTTTTAATATATATAGAACTGGAAGGCAAGTCATGTGGCCCAAGGCTTTGTGTGGATTCTGCTGTTGCTTTGAGTAAATAATCTTTGAAATTATTGTTAAAGTTGTGGCAGATAACAATAGTAAATCTAAAGAAAAGAAAGGAGGAAAATACCATTCCCCGTGCTGCCAAGTTAACTATGTGTCAATCGGTCATCTAATTTCTCTTGGCTTTCTGAAACTGAGTTCAGACATTTTTCACTAACCACATGCATTTTTAACATGAGGCATACATCAAACAGTGGCTCATAATATACCAGGTAGTTCAATTCCTAGGGAGGTGCTGAGGCTGTGTCAGCCTTGGTCAGGATCAGAGGGGATAGAATGTGGGCCCCAGGGGGTCATGAGGCTCCTTACTAGCCAATGTGTGTCCTGTTTTTTTTTGTTTTTTTTTTTTAACAGATTGTCCCAATGGCCACCCGTGCTCTGTAGGAGAGGTGAGTTTTGGTGTTTTCTGGGTGGAAGCGTAAATTCTGTGTTCTCTGAGATTCATGGAATGAGGTAGAAAGAGGTTCTTGCCCAGTTTGCTTTGGACTGTGGAGTTCTACAGTCTGGATGTCAGCAACTGCTCTGATGTGCTGTGGGCCTTGTGTCACAGTATGGAGCCACACCAAACTTGTTTTGTTTTTTGTTTGGTTTTTCCAGACAGGGTTTCTCTGCATAATATCCCTGGCTGTCCTGAAACTCACTTTGTAGACCAGGCTGGCCTTGAACTCACAGAAATCCTCCTGCCTCTGCCTCCTAGGTGCTGGGATTAAAGTTGTGCACCACCACAGCCCTGTACCATCTAGCTTAGTAAAAGGGGCCCTTAGGAATAATGAATACTATGATTGGAATTTTTTTAAAAAATAAAAATCTCCCATGTTTAAAAAAACCAATCAGACCGGAAGCAAGTAACCCCATGTATGTTGGTGTTGGATAGTGAAGCCCTAAGGTGAGTGTACACATACAAGAAAGGAATGAAGAGTTGGGTACAAGAAAGCAAAATGTGCCTCAGGGTTTCCTATCAGGTATCAATCAATCTGGGATTCGAACTTATGTCTACTTTTCATAAATGTCTGCACTTGCCCACTATCTGCATGCTTAGGGTAAGTGTCCACCTTGCAAACACACAGAGGACGCAATCCCAGTGACTTCCCATGGCAGAGCAGGGTCGCTCCACAGCGGTACTCATGCCTAAGACATCATTGTGTTCCCTCTAGTGCGGCATGCCAATGGAACAGAGCTTCTGTCCGGACTGTCACGCTCAGATTGGTGGACTCAATCACAAGCCACACCAGGGCTTCCATCTTATCAGGTACATAAGCTTCTGCTCCCCCAGTAATCAGCCCTGGCCTTCAGGACTGTTCCAACTCTCCTTCCTAAACTGTCACTAACTTGTGCCAAAGTCACTATCATACATCTGGATCTACGAATGTCATGCTTGTCACCAGTGCCAAGGTCCAGTGCCAGTGTCATCAGAAACCACAAGGTGCGTCACTGGCCCTAAACACAGTGACCTACACATTAATACTTGCTAACACAGACATGTTCTGTGGGGTCCTTGGGCTTACCCTTGTAGAAGTATGTTTCCTATAAATTCAGGACAGTAGGTCCAGCAACTGAAACAGTATCTGCCTAGCTCAGATGTAAACTATCTATCTCAGTTCTCTCTCGTCTCCTTAGGATCTCATACTTGGCTGTCCTGGTTCTTGCTATGTGGCCCAGGTCTGACTCAGCCTCCTGCTTGCTAGGATTACAGGGGCATGCCACCACACCTGGCTTGTTTTTTCTTTTTCAAGATGGTAGGAAAATGGAGGGCACATAGCCAGGCTTGTTAAGTACTACCGTGCCTTGGTCTGTGTGAGGGGCGACTTTTAATACACCCCTACCACATTCTAAGACCCTTCCTAAAAGCTGTCCCTTATATAAGAGGGCACAGTAATTAAAGAGAGTGACACACCTTTCTCATTGTTTAGAATCTTCTAGATTGTCCACAAAGCCTGTCACAGAATGAGTGCCGTATAAATACTTGTTCCACTGCATGGTTTAGGGAACTGGGATAAGAAAGCAAAGCTGTCCTGGTTTTGGTTTGTAGTTGCTTGACTTTGAAGAGGCAAAGGGCTGTTTCTAAATAATAGTCCGATCCTGTGGTTCTGACACAGTGCAGCTGCCCAGTCCTCAGGATTGGTTGGTGGGGTCTGATGCAGTCCCTATGTTCTGGTGCACCTGGCATAGTCAAAGCTTACGATATTCTGGCTACTTATCTCTAAGACCTAGCAGAATGTCCCTGACATGCAATATCTTTGCAAATGAGTGTACACACACCATTTCCCACTTACTACATATGATGCAAAATGTCCTGCCAGACCTTGGATGCTAGTTTATGACTGGGGAAATAAGAAGAATGTGAAAATGTATACATGGGTGCAAAATGCCCCAAACTCCAGCCTCCCAGGCCTCGGAGCACTTTCAATGTTGTTTCCTCAGAGCATGGAACCCTAGCTCCAAGTCCTTGGCCAGCAAGAGCAGCCTCTTCCAATCTTTACCTTGTCTTTTCTCTTCCTTTCTAGAAATAATGAGGACAGAACACAGACTGGCCATGTGTTGGGTGACCTGCAGCCTGGTGGTGTAGAGGTGGCATCTGATCGCGGGCTGTCCCCAGTGGTCTTCATTCTCAGCCGGCTACTCACTCATTTGGCTATGCTTGTGGGAGCCACTCAGGATCCCCAGGTACTTGTGATATGCTGCTACACAGAGGAAGGACCTACTGTAGGTTCCTGTCAGCCCTTTTGTCTTAGCCCTGCCCGCCAGGGCCTGTGAAGTGAGAGTAGACTGTTGGTACCCAATCTGCCAGGTGACAGAAACCTAACATCTCCTGACCTTTTCCAGCACAGCATGGAATGGGAGGAAGCACTTTTCAGATTATATAAAATCCACTTCTTATTTTCCCAGACAGGGTCTCACTCAGTAGCCCTGGTTGTTCTGGAACTCACTCTGTAGATCTGTAGTCTGGCCTTGAATTCAGAGACCCGCCTGTCTCTGCTGAAAGGTTTAGGCCAAAAGAATAACATCTTCCTCCCAAGTGCTGGGATTAAAGGCATGCGCACTGCCACCACGCAAGTATCTTTCATCTTTTATTAATATTTTTTCACAGTGCTCCAGAGGTTAGAGTTCCATCACTGAAAGATAACTATCCCAGTTTTTTTTTTTTTTAAATTATACCAACCAATTTTCTGTATTAGTGAGACTAGCTGTCACCTGGACAGACATGTAAGGATCAGATCCACTTTCAGAGTGCAGCATGGGGAGGCTAAGGTCATCCATGCTGCATCTCCCTCATATTAACACTAGCCAAGAGGACACAAAGTTCATGGTTGGTGTCATCTCCTCTCAGACAGCACCACTGCCTGTTTCGTTACTCCCAGGCCCTGACCCATATCATTAAGCCGAGGGTCCAGGACCCACAAGGCTTCCTGCAGAAGCACATCCAGAGAAACCTGGAACAGCTAACCAAGATGCTGGGCAAGAGTGCCGATGAGACCACGCACGTGGTGCACCTCATCCTCAGCAGTTTGCTCAAGGAGCGGCACCCTGTGTTCGGCCAGAGTAAGCAAAGGGGGCAAAGGCTGAGCTGGGCTGAGGAATCACCTGCCATGACTCCTGAGTGAGTGAAACTAAACTTGAGCTAAGTGTAGTAACCTGGTAACCTGTAATCCTAGTACTTAGGAAGCTGACGCAGGAGTATTGTGAGTTCAAGGCCCGCATTGGGCTTCACAGTGAACCTCTTTAACGAGTAAAAATAGAGGGGATGGGAGAAAAAAGCATGAGCTCTTACTGGGGTGAAGAGGTTACTGGGGTGAAGAGGTTACTGTGCTCCCCATCCACCCACACACCTGATGGGGCCTCTGACCTTTGCTTCTTGGGACCATTTACACACAAGTGCAAACAAACCTACTGTCTGGGAGACTCGTGTCATCTAAAGCCGGTGATGTGTGCCCAGGAATCAGTCACTGTTTCTGCTCTTGACTAAAAATTCCGTGGTGTACACTGTCCCCACAGTTGACAGTGAACTGTTCCCACATACACAGTTCGCTCAAGAAAAAACAAACACTGTTCGCTGAGCTGACCTTTCTGTTCTAACATCCAAGTCTACTAGGAAAGGTAATAAATGTCACTGAAGATGGCATTATTAAGAATGACTTATTTTAGCAGCTTGTTTGTTTTCAAGACAGGGTTTTTTTGTGTAACAGCTCTGACAGGAATACCTGGCTGGCCTCAACCTCAGAAATCACCTTCCTCTGCCTCCCAAGTGCTGCATCACCGCCACCCGGCTCAGAATGACTTATTTCTTAACTGAAAAAAAAAAATCTTTTTGGTTTTGGTAGTGCTAAGATTAAACCAAGGGACATTGAACATGCTACACAAACATTTCCATTCAGCTATGCCAAAGTCCTGTAAACAATCTTTTGAAATCATCAATGTAACGACAACTGTGTGGGGGTGCACACCTGACTCAGCACATGTGTGAATGTCAGAGAACAACTTTTTGGTGTTAGCTTTCTCCTCCCACCTTGTTGAGAAGGTCTCTCTTGTTGCTGCTTTGCATATTCAAGGCCAGCGGGCCTGTGAGCTTTCAGGCGATTCTCCTGTCACCACCTCCCATTCAGCTCTTGAAGTACCTAAATTACAGGGGCAAGCCACCACATCAGGTTTCCTGTGGGTCCTGGGATAGAACTCAGGTTGTCAGACTGGCATAGCAAATACTTTTACCCACCAAACCAACCTTCTAGTCCATGGTGGTGTGTGTGTTTGTTTTTCTGAGACAAGGTTTCTCTGTGTAGCCCTGGCTGTCCTGGAACTTCCTCTGTAGACTAGGCTGGCCTCAAACTCATAGAGTTCACCTGCTTCTGCCTCCCGAGTGCTGGGATTAAAGGCCTGTGCCACACCTGACCCACTATGTTACTTTAAAATCAAGTAATAACAATGAAAGTGCCACCTGCAGACAGAGCACTCACTCCTCTAGGGCCTTCCTCCCCAGTCAGCATAACAGGGTATTACTATTTAGTAAAACCTCATGTTATGGTTTTGGTGTTTTCCCCACAAATGAGAAAGCCTGCCACTATCTCGGGTCCACACCGCCTTCATAGGTCCTGCCTGCTCTGCCTGCAGGTCTGGAAAGCAATTGGGGTGGCTGATGGTACCACTGGCTCTGTCACTGCTCCTGGGCTTGTGATCTGTGTCCTTAGCACTGTTGTTCAGAATGGCTTTGTGGTGGAAGCCATGGGGTCAGAGGAACTGTCTGAGGTTGGGGTGTCATCACAAAGGGGGTGATGGCAGATGATTGCATCAGGGACAGTTAGGGTTAGGGTACTTAGGAAGGTACTGCCCCCACATGGAACTTTCTATGGGCACTTATTTCATGCTGACTATATGCAGGCTGCTATGGCTCTTGCTCTAGGGCAACCCTCACATTCTTATTTTATTTGTAGGGGTGTCCGATTTTAACACAGAATTGTCAACCAAAGGATCCAGAAACAACTGGGAGAAGCATTTTGAAGCTCTTCTTCTACCTGAGTTGGAGGTGAGCTGTGACAGTCACTTAGCACTTCTCTAGGATAGGAGTAGGGGTCTCCCACATATCTGCTGAGTAATCTTTGCCCATCATCCCTGGGGAAGGGCTGCAGGAGCCTCTACTAAGCCTCAGGTTTCAGTGTCCTCAACCTACAGTGTGTTTATCATCACTTTGGGTAGCAGGATGTGAGGGTAAGAAGCAGACATACTATCCTATAGAGAGACTCTCGAGATGAAAGAGAAGCAACAGGTATAGACCTCTTTGTCCCCCTGTATACAGGGAAGCAAAACCCTACAGCAAGGCCCTGTTGGATTATAACAGAAACCAGCAAGGGGACAGGCAAGATAAGGAGGTTAGCCACAGTGTAGTTACTAGGTGTGCCAGCTGTGTGCAGCAGTCTCTGTTCAAGAATTCTGTATCATTTTCTTCATCCAGCGTCTTGACAAAACCTTGCCAGCTGTTAATGCTCTTATCAGTCAAGATGAGCGCATCAGCTCCAATCCCGTGGCCAAAATCATATATGGGGACCCAGCTACCTTCCTGCCTCACTTGCCCCAAAAAAGTGTGGTTCATTGCTCGAAGATTTGGAGCTGCAGAAAGAAGATTACGCTGGAGTACCTGCAGCATATTGTGGATCAGAAAAATGGCAAAGAGACGGTGCCTGTTCTCTGGTACTTCCTCCAGAAGGTACAAGTGACTCCTGGGTGACCCCGCTTTTTCTGTGCACATGATTTCCTAACCCTTTGTTCAGAATAGTGGCTCCTAGGGCTGGAGCTCAGAGCAGCTGCCAGTGCGGTGGCCCTGATGGAATGCTGTTAGCAGGAGACTCAAGGGGAAAGAGAGGTCTTCAGCCTTTGCTTGCAGTCTCAGGCAGCCTCAAGCATAGTCACCAGTAGAATACATACGTGTTGGTCAGTGGTCATATGAAGAGAACTTGAGTGGCCACTCAGCAACACCAGAAAAGGTACTGGTCTCCAGCCATGTCTCTTCCTCTTGGCTTGAAGCAGGCGGTCATCTGCGGTGCCTGCTGGCTGCAAATGTTACTAAAAATGTAACAACTTCCTCTCAGCCTTTAACCCTTCCAGGCGCAGAAAGCATAGTTGGGAATGTGAGCTCGAAGCAGGTTGAAGAGCTATGAGATGCTGCAGTCTGAGTCTCTCTGAGACCCCGGAACACACACAGTTCCTGTATCTACTGGAGCCCTCGTCTACAGTGGTCTTTTGTTTCCCTGGGGACCAGTGTGTGTATAACCCTGTGACTTCTCTTGGGTAGTTTTCTTTGCTTGAGGAAGTTTGGGTCTGAGGCTTTGGAACAACAGCCACTACTAACTGCTTGGTCTCTTGCTTCCAATTGCTTCTCACACAGTCAGTCACATGGGCACAAGAAACTAGTTCTCTTATCTTTATAATTTTAATAATTATAATCATTAAATATAACAATATACACATTAAGGGGTTCTGTGTGACATGCATGCAGACTGACTGAAGAAGTTGAGCCCTTCCTTTGCCAACCTTCCTACCTCTTCCCTCCATCTGCTGCTCAACACATGGGCTGAGAAAGCAGTTCCATGATCGAATCACTGCCGTTCTGTCTGCATGCAATGTGCTGAGGTGGGCAGTGGAGACCAATGGAGTAGAATGGCGATTACTATCTTACCTCTAGGTTGACTTCTCTTAGCCCGCACATATAGTGTGTGGTACTCATCTTTCTGTATCTGACTTAATTCATTTCATAAAGTGACCTCTTGGGGCTGGAGAGATGGTTCAGCTGTTAAGAGCACTGGCTGGTGACCTCTAGACGATGGTATCCATTCTTCTGCCGATGGCAGGATTTTATTCCTCTTCTGCTCTGGGACTGAGGGTCCTGCCTTTGTGACATACACCACACATTTTCTGCCCATTCAAGGCTGAAACTGTTTTAGCTGTTGTCACCAAAGTCACAGAAAACTTGGGTGTGCTCATGTGTTTTTGGTCTACTTGTCTCGTTTCCTTTGAGCACCCAACCAGAAGAAAGGCCTAGACTGTGTGGTAGTTAATATGCTTTGCCACCATAGCTGTTCTAATTTACACTCAACTAGCAATGTTAATCCTTTTCTCCATATCCTGACCAGCATTGTCACTTGTTTTCTTCACTTGCCTTCTGACTGGGACGAGATGGTATTCCAGTGTAGCTCTGATTGGTCTCCCTCTGATAACTAAGGTTATGGGGCATTTCTTCATATACTTGTTGGCCATCTTATTTCTTTTTAAGAAGCATCTTTTCATTTGCCCATTGCCAGTGGGATTGTTTGGTTTACTGTTGAATTCCTCACACACTCGACACCTGACCCTTTGTAAGGCAAATGGCAAATCTCTCCTTCTATTCTGTAGACTGTCTTGACCCTGTTGACTGCTTCCTCTGCTGAACAGAAGGGTTCCCCTCTGGCAGAACCAGAACCCCACTTGTCAATTGGTGCTTTTGGATCCCTGCCCAGAAACCACTCTTCACTCCAACATGTTTCCCGTTTCCTTCCAGCAGCTTTGGGTCTTACATTTAGGTATTTGGCCCATCTTGAGTCGGTTTTTGTACTGGATGAGACAGGATTCAGTCTTCAAGGCAGCTCTGTCCCACTGGGTTCTGGCACATAGTTTTGGCTCTGGGTAGGCTGTGTGTACAACAGTATAACACTACAAGCCATTTGTGGGTACTTACAGGAAGAATGGGGTGGCCCTTTACCTGTTTCTAAATTCTAGGGTATATCACTATGTAAAAGGGGACACTGACCAAGTTAAATCAGCAGCACCAATCCCCCAAGCACCCACAAAGTGTATGTGCCTGGTAGCATTCCTCAGGTAAATAAGAGGCATCACTGCTAAACTGTCTTCCTTTCTGCAGGAAGCAGAACTAAGGCTGGTGAAATTCTTGCCCGAGATCTTGGCCCTGCAAAGAGATCTAGTGAAACGATTCCAGAATGTTTCAGAAGCAGAGTACAGTTCCATCAGAGGTTTTATTAACAGTCACCATTCAGGTATGACTCTGCCCAAGTGCTATAAAGGAATCGGGACCCTCTGATTTTAACAGAGGAAGGGACAGGGGCTCAGTAACAGGTGCCATGTGCTTTAAGCTTTCAGCATGAGGTGAGGAGACACTGATTACAACTAGCTAGGAAAACAGGGAGTTGGTTCCATCGAGAGCTTGCACCAAGTGGGTCAGAACTTAGCTGTATTGTTGTCATGGTTCTTACCAAACACTTTCCTCAACAGATGGGCTGAGAAAGCAGTTGCATGATCGAATCACCATTTTTCTGTCCACATGGAACGCGTTGAGGCGGTCTCTGGAGACGAATGGTAAGGGTGCCCCTCTGGCAGCAGGATCACATTGCTCTGAAGCTCAGCTCTCCCTGTCACATCAGCGCCAAGCAAGCTCGCCAGGTGGCTTCAGATGGAGGCTGTCTTACTTAGGGTGACTCCTGCCGTGATGAAACCGGATGAATGAACAGCAAGTTGGGGAAGAAAGGAGTTATGTGACTTGTTTCTTCCTCAGCACTGTTCGTCATCAAAGGAAGTCAGGAGAGGAACTCGAGCAGGGCAGGAACCTGGAGGCAGGAGCTGATACAGAGGCCATGGAGGGAGCTACTCACTGGCTTGCTCCCCACGGCTTGCTCAGCCTGCTTTCTTACAGAACCCAGGACAGAATGCCCAGGAAAGGCACCACTCACAATGGGCTGGGCCCTCCACATTAATCACTAATTAAGAAAATGCCCCACAGCTGGATCTTAAGGAGACATTTTCTCACTTGAGGCTCCTCCCTCCTCTGGATTCTAGCTAGTGTCAAGCTGACATAGACTAGCCAGTACACAAGATCTGAGAGAAGAATGAAAGTGGGTTTCCAGAGAGCTGCGATCACTGAAAACTTGTCAGCAAGTCTGTTAGAGGCAAGACCTTAAAACCAGGCCCCTGCTCTGGGTCAGCTGCTGGGACCCTATCTGTGTGCCTCATCCCTCTCCTGAGAAACAGTATGGGGCACAGCTTACCTGTCTGCTAAGGAATAGCCCTGTCATTTCCAGGTGAGATCAAGCTACCAAAAGATTACTGCCGCTCTGACCTGGATCTGGAGGCTGAATTTGAAGTCATCCTTCCACGGCGACGGGGCCTGGGCCTCTGTGCAACTGCCTTAGTCAGCTACCTGATTAGCCTGCACAATCAAATGGTCTACACAGTGCAGAAGCTCTCTGAGGAAAACAGCAGGTGTGTGCACAAGCCAGCAGACCTTGGGGCTTGTCCAGCCCTAGGCTCCTGAGTCCCTGCCAACCCCTGCTCTTCCGTGGCAGACCCTCTCAGAGTAGCCACTCTCCCCTCCACAGACATACAGCCTTACCTGCTCAGACCATAGAAGCTGAAACAAGAGTGTCCCCATGTGTCTGCTCTTGGTATCGATCATGTGTCTTGTGTCCCCCAGCTATTCTGTAGATACCTCTGAGGTTGCTGACGTGCATGTCATCAGCTACGAGGTGGAACGGGACCTGACTCCACTGATTCTCTCCAACTGCCAGTACCAAGTGCAGCAAGGTGGAGAAACCTCACAAGAGTTTGACCTAGAGAAGATCCAGCGGCAGATCAGCAGCCGCTTCCTCCAGGGCAAGCCCAGGCTGACCCTCAAGGTAGGCTGAGCCTGCTGTTAGTGATGTGCTTCGTGTGTTTGTCATGCATAAGGGACTCTTCATGTCAGAGTGCACTATGCCACCCACAGTCTCATCTGGGTCATCTCCTTGACACCCAGGCATGCATGGCCACAGCTCCATCAGTCTTCTGGCTGTGGTGGTCTTAAGACCTTTGGTACCACCATCTGCACCTCAGTCCCCCAGAGGCAGCCTCTGGTCTCAGTGAACTTAGCATTTAGCTTTTCTGCCATAGTTAATGACACCATCAAGGAACTCTGCCTTTGTTGCCCTGGTCCTCAACATTCTATGCCCAGGTACCAGTGTGCCTTCTGTGTGTCCTCACGCGTTAACTGCCATAGCCTGTCATTTTAGTCATCTATCCTGGTGCTCCCTGGACCGTCTCTGTTATGAATGCTCTGCATGGCATCCCACTGCCTCCCTTCACTTGCAACAGCATGCCCTGTCTGCCCTCACACATGATTCCTGCCACCTTGGCACACAATGGCGAGCCGCATCTCTGTTTCTTCATCTGGAGAGCAGGAAGGTGATACTTCCAGTCCACTGCATGTGGGGTCCAGAGACATCCAGTCCATAAGTTGATCACACAGCCTACAGATAGGCTGCGGCTTGGAGCCCAGAGCTATTTCTGATTCACTCTGACAGCCATGTTGTCCAGAAATGTGACTTCCTTGTCCCGAGGTCTATACTTAACAGTTACTGAAGAGTTGGTAAAAGAGCTGTCCTCCTGGTGCCCCATGCATCCTCGGCGTAGTGCAGTAGTCTCTATAGTGCCCATGCATCCTCGGCGTAGTGCAGTAGTCTCTATAGTGCCCATGCATCCTCGGCGTAGTGCAGTAGTCTCTATGGTGCCCATACATCCTCGGTGTAGTGCAGTAGTCTCTATGGCAGTATCTTTGAAGCCATTGTAGCAAGGATGGCATCTGCTGGATCACTGTTTCCAAAGACAGCGTCTTCAGTCGACACCCTGCAGCAACACTGCCTTTCCCAGGAATGCCCTGAGTATTTGCATCCTGCTGCCGAGTTACTGAGGGCCCACTGTGGGTTTCATCTCTAACAATCTTTCTTTCTCAATGCAGGGGATACCCACCTTGGTATACAGACATGACTGGAACTATGAGCATCTCTTCATGAACATCAAGAACAGAATGCCACAGGTGCTCTTGACAACCCTTGTCATTTCTATCCACTACAGATAGCTCCAGCCTCATCCTGGGTCTGCTGTTAGCACTATCCCCTCAGTGTCTTTTGAAGAACCCCGAGACTCCTGGAAGCCCACACTTTCTACAGAGGGAAGCTGGGCAACAGTCCACCAGACGTTGTTGTTCAGTTTAAACACACATCCTGTGGAACAGGTGTCTTAGTAACATCACAGCTGTGTGCACTGACGCTGAACAGCCAGAGAGAACTGAAAGGTGTCCCTGCTCTTTCCCAGCAAGTCTGAGAGGGAGCTGAATGGCTGTGTCTCCTCATAGGGTTGCTTTTGTTTTGTTGGTTTTTCGAGACAGGGTTTCTTTGTGTACTCCTGGCTGTGCTGGAAATAGCTCTGTAGACCAGGCTAGCCTCAAATTCACAGAGATCCATCTGCCTCTCCTTCCTGAGTGCTGGGATTAAAGGTGTGCACCAGCACCACCTGGGTTTAGGGTTGTTTGAGGTATTATGTGTTTTTTGCACTTAATGTGCACCAAGAATCAGCTGTGTGCTTTCTGGAGAGCCTGTCCCAGCTCTAGCTTGAGTGGTGGCAAAGCTAACCTCTTCTCTGTTGGTGAGATACAAGAAGCCAAACCATAACTCTAACCTTGCATTTTGTTCCCAGACCCCACTCACTAATTCAGCTATCAGTGCCATCGGTGGGCAGCTACAGTCCTACAGTGACGCTTGTGAAGCCCTGTCTGTCATAGAAGTCACCCTGGGCTTCCTGAGCACAGCTGGTGGGGATCCTGACATGGACCTCAATGTGTACATTCAAGATATCCTACAGATGCGGGATCAGACAGCTCTGATCCTAAAGGTAAGCACTGATGCCAAGCCTGCTGGTATATACCAGTAATCCCAGTACTCTGGATGAAGAGGCAGGAAAACTGCCAGTTCCAGGTCACCCCGAGCTGAAGAGTGAGTTCCAAGCCATAGTAGACTACTAAGCAAGACCATGTCTCAAAACAGGGAGGGGAGTCCTGATGAAAGGCGTTGATGGGAAATTGCATGGCCCTCCCCAGAAGCTCCTGTTTCCTACCTAATTCCACCATGCATCAATGCCAGAACACCCAGATCCACCAGGCAGCAATGTCGGAACCCCCAGAAAGGGGAAAATCAAGAGCATTCCTCACACAGTCAGTCCACCATGCACACAGCACCCCTGGGACAGCAGGATGACAGGTGGTCCATGCTGACCACCCAGGCTCACCATCTGTGAGCACTGCAGAGCCACACAGTGTGTGACGTCATGACTCTGTTACAAAAGAATGAGGAGACTGTAAAGGGTGGGTCAGTTGAACTTGTGGATGAGACTGTCTCATGACAAGGGGAACAGAAGGCACCCAAGACATAAATGGGGAGCTGTGCCTATGGCGTGTCACTTAGATTCCTTTGCACATGTGGGTGACATGTGTGGGACTCCCGCCTTCCACTGAGGTTCTGCTTCTCTCTCAGGCCTTAAACAGATGTCAGCTGAGACACGTCATTGCCCTCTGGCAGTTCCTGTCTGCACATAAGTCAGAACAGCGGCTACGACTCAGGAAAGTGAGTCTCTCCTCGCCTCACTTTTGGTGGTGGAGGGAGCGGCGGGCGCCTTCCTCTCCCCAGGTCTTACTGCAGCACTTGTTGACCCTGCATTTCAGGAGCTGTTTCGGGAGATTGATGTGAAGTACAAAGAGGCCCTCAGTCCGCAGCATGCAAAGCTCCTTGGCACATTCTTGAATGAGGCAGGCTTGGACGCCTTCCTTCTGGAGCTCCACGAGATGATCGTGCTGAAACTCAGGGGCCCTCAGGCTGAGAGCAGCTTCAACCCCAATTGGAGGTATGGCAGAATGCCCTGTTGCCCAGTGGCTTCCCCTAGACTTGAAGGTAGTCCTGACTTACCCAAGACCCTTTTCTGCTAATTTTCCATGCCTTTGGTATTTTGTACTGTTGGTTCGATTTTCAGTTTTTCCTTTCCTTTTGTTTCTTTTTTCTTTTTTTTTTTTGGGGGGGGGTGAATTTTCAAGACAGGGTTTCTCTGTAGCTCTGGAACCTGTCCTGGAGCTTATTTTTAATCCGAGCAGGCAGATCTTTGTGAGTTTGAGGCCATCTCGATCTACATAGTGAGTTTCCAGGACAGCCAGGAAACCCTGGATAAAAAATGAGAAACTCTGTCTCAAAAAACTAAAAATAATAACAATAATAACAAAAATACTGGTGTGTTCCACCATCGCCTGCACTTTTGGTTTTCCAAGACAGGATTTCTCTGTGTAGCTCTTGTTGTCCTGGAACTCTGGAGAGTTCTGTAGATCATGCTAGCCTCAAACTCAGTACTCCATCTGCCTCTGCCTCCTGAGTGCTGGGATTAAAGTGTATGCCAATATGCCAGGCTTCTTTGGTTTAATTTCTATATAATTTTAATCCCTTGTGATTAAAAGAAAACAAAACCGGTAGGAGGTTAGGGAAATGGCCCAGTAGGTTTGCTTGTTGCACAAGCACAGGGACTTGTGTTTACATCCCTGGCACCTATATAAAAATCTGGGTATGACTACCTATGCCTGGGGTGTGGTAGAAGACAGGCAGATCCTAAGAACTTGCTGGCATAAAAATACAAGTTCAAGGTTCAGTAAGAGACCCTGTCTCAAAAAAGTAAGGTGGGAAGTGATAGAGTAAGATACGAAATGCCATCCTCTGACCTCTGGTTACACACGCTCAAACATGTGCACACATATGCATATCACACACACAAAAGGCAGGCAAACAAGGAGGAGGGCTGGGGGTGTGGCTCATTGGTAGTGTTTTCTAGCATGCACAGAGCCCTGGGGTATGGTAACACACACCTATAATCCTGGTGCTTGGGAGTTACAAGCAGAAAGATCAGAAGTTCAAGGTCATCGTTGGCTATACAATAAGTTTGAGGTCAATGTGGGCCACATGAAAACTACAGAATTCATAAATTCCCCTTAAAACAAGTAGACTTATATCAAATGTTCACTGTAATGTTGATAAAAAAAAAAAAAGCCACACCAGTGTGTAAAGGCTACAGAACACAATTAGCCATCTCTTCCAAGTATGTCAATCTAACGGTCCAACACCAGCATCCCTGCTCTAGAGGCACTTAGTGGCTGGCTACATTTTATATTCATCAGCCATTTGTGAATGACGCTCTTGATCATTTTTGCATAATTGTGGGGGCATTTATCTCTAAATTTTTATTACATGTGTATGTGTGTTTTGCCTGCATGTAAGCCTGTGCACCACGTTAATACCTGCCTCTCTGGAGAAGTCAGAAGGACCCTGATCCCCTGGAACTGGAGTTATAGAGATGGTGTGAACCACCATGTAGTGCTGAGAATCAAACCCTGGCTCTCTGGAAGAGCAGCCGATCTTATAATCACTGAGCTGTCTCTCCAGCCCTGGCTGTTTCTCTCTCAATGGTTTGAAATGCTCTTTGTACACAACAGAAATTAACTTTTATCAGTATCACAGATGACCTCAAGCTCTAGTTTTATCAAGTGAAACTGATGATTTTTCTTACTAAGTGTCTACAGGGAAACATACAAGCAATTATACATCTATACCACACATTTGTTTTATCAGCCAGTTCTACATGGTGTGAGGCAAATACTGAACTGTGAGTGCTCTTTCTTCTGTCTTTTTCTGCTTTCTGTAGCCCAGGCAGGCAAACAACTCAATCTTCTAAGTGCTGGGATGATAGGCTGCTTCACCGTTCTAAGCATTCAAACTCCAGCTTTCCTCAGTAATCATTTTATATTTGCTCTTTTCCTCCAGAATGGTACATGGCATATATCATTGTACATTTGTATTCCATAAGAAAGTCTCTGCTAGTTCCAGGGCATCCTCCAAAGCCACAGAGAAACCCTGTCTCGAAAAAAAAAAAAAAAAAAGAAAAAAAAAAAAAGAAAGAAAAGAAAGTCTCTGCTGAAGCCGAGCAGTGGTGGCACACGCCTTTAATCCCAGCACTTGGGGGGGGGCAGAGACAGGTGGATCTCTGTGAGTTTGAGGCCAGCCTGGTCTACAGAGAGAGCTCCAGGAGAGCCTCCAAAGCCACAGAGAAACCCTGTCTCGAAAAACCAAAAAAAAAAAAAAAAAAAAAAAAAGTCTCTGCTGGTCTGGACTTATAAATACTAGCTGTTCTCCTTTCTAGAGTTTGCAATCTGTTAATGTCAGAGTAAGAGAACACAGTGATGAGGTTTTGGTTTTTCCACATGGCCCCACTGTTCACATTGGCCATGCCAAGAGCCATCCAGCTATCGATGCTGTGAGCCAGCTCCATCCACAGGGCTTCCACACCAGTACAGGAGGGGCTCAGCCCCTGGCTTCCTAAGATTCCCAGTGAGTCTGGTCTTGGCCTCCATAAGATTCCCATCGAGTCTGGTCTTAGCTGGTATTTTGTCCTCTTGAACTGTCTGGGTTGTGATGTTACAGAACGCTCTCTTGTTCTTTGGTTTCACAGCCTCAGGGATACTCTAGTGAGTTACATGGAGACTAAAGAGAGTGAGGGCCTTCCAGAAGTGGAATCCCACTTCCCAGAAGAGATCCTCATGTCCAGCTGTATCTCAGTATGGGAAGCTGCAGTCACACGAAAACAGGACCGGCAAGCGAGGTAGAGCAGCTCAACCTTCAAACACGGCTGGAAAGGAAGGTCTTCTTCCCCACCTCCCTTCACAGTCTCTGTGTGAAGGCAAGTGTGGGCACCGCACTGGATTCAAGGCTTACATACCAACAAGCTGATGGCTTTTTGAGAGCCAACCTGTTTCTGGAACATGGGCCTTTTCCAAAACTTCCTCATATATGATGATACAAAACTGGCAATCAACTGCTTCTTGTACATCCCAGAAGAAACAAGACAACCACAGTGAGGCCATTACCAATACTGATCCTCTGAAGACTGCCAGCCTCTGACCTCACAGTTCATGGCCACCACTTTACTGCATAGAGAGAAACCACGGGGCAGTACATATTTTTCCCTATTCTTTCTGTACATATGTAAGAATATATGTACCTATGTAGTATGTACAGAAAGAATATGTTTATTCTTTCAAGGAAAACCAAGGTGCTTGTACAAGCTGTAAGGCCACATGAACAAGAGCTAATGTCAATGCCACCATGAGTCACTGCCAAATTGCAAAGGAACAAAGCCAGACACTCAGTGAGAGCATGAGACTGGGAGTGAAGAACCATGAATAGACTGGAGAGCAGGGACTACAGGCGGGTGCTAGAGCACCTGCCCTCCGTGCACATGCCACATCCTGGGTTCTCTCCCCAGCACTGCAAATGGGGAAGGGGACAAACAACAATAAAACAGACAGACTGATGGCCAAAGTAGATGCATCTGAGTTCCCCGGGTCCCTCGGGACTAACCCTACTCCTGGCACGCACTGCCATTTGCAGTGATGTAAGAACAGCCAGTGTTTACAAGTGTTTCCTTCACAGAAACAGTAAACTTGAACCATAGGGCCCATGTACTTTGAGCTGTAGAAATACAGACTGGCAATCAGGACCACACCCATGGACACAGCACCTCCAGCACGAGGTGGATCTGGACCATGCTCTGTTCTGACATTCTCCTCAGAGCCTGATGCAGGGACCAGACCTGCAGTAACATTGCAGACTGTAGCCACAGTTATGGTGACTCTCTGCTCCAAACTATGAAGAACACCTGTCCCCAGATGTCTGCATGCCAGGCTTCTTGTGGGATTGATGCCTCACAGAGCTTCCCAACTTGGCCTTGGTCTCCTGTGATACCTCAGGTTGGGGCTTAACTCACCCTCACCATCAGAGGGCAACTCAGTCCCACAATGTTTCTTGCTGTGAAGGCCTTTTTGGGCTTTGACCTAGGCATTTTTCTTTCCTGTCATGAAGGATTTTTAATTGAGATGTTTTGTTTTATATGCTATGCTTTTGAGCCTTAGCTCTCTATGCTGTGCTACCATGTCTGCACATAATATACAGATCTAATGCCGGCAAAAGGAAATTCCATTATTTTTGCCATACTCATTTTAATAAATTTCAGCTTTATTGCTAAGCGTCGTTTTTTGGGTGGGAGCTGCCAAGCCTGACAACTTGAGTTCAATCCTATTTTCTTCCTCAGAACAAAGGGACAGCAGGACTCTTGTTTATGATAGAGACAGCACTGCTCTACTGGTCTCAGAGGATTCTGCCAGAAGAAAACTCACTGAAAACAGCTACCAGCAAATGGAGATGAGACCTGTTGGGCTTGGTTAAGGATAAGGAATAGGAAATAAAGGCAGGAAAGAGAAGTAATTCAGATTCTGTGCCTTTCCTAAACCATTGTCAGATGGGCCATGTGGTAACTGAAATCGCCATGAGCTGCTTCTGCTAACAGAAAGCAGCACTGATGAACTGTCACCATGAAGAGAGCAGTGGCTCAGGGGGCTCAGCCAGTTCACACAGGTGACCCAAGTCTGGTGTCTACAGTATAGCAATGCATGAGTGAGAACATGTCTCCTGTTGTATGACTCCCTGGAGAGCCGTGAGCAAACATCTATTCACCCCAGACAATACATTGAGAAAAGACCACAGAAATGGCTCCAAACAAGTCTAGCTTAGGTACAGGCACATGGGTGACTCAGGCTGCATCACTGAAATGCCCAACTGGGCTTGGGTAACAAGTTGTCAAAGCTGAACTCCCGGGCTCCCTGACCAATCTACAGCTGTCTCCACAAGTCTCTTCTCCCCCAGCAACTGCTTACGGCTTCTAACCTCGGGGACAAGCCTGCTAAGTCTTGGGACGCTGTGGGCCTCAGAGCCTAGGAAATGTCTCCTGAGCCTCCCACTGCCCTTCAGTAGCCAGTGTTTCAGTCATGAGAAAACAGTTCCACAACAGGTGGATAAAGTGTTGAACATCAGGCTGCAGAACCAACAGCCACGAGAGCCGTGTTCAGTGGGCAGGAGAAACCCCAAGGCCTGCGCTTAGTATCAGGCGGCAGTGACTAGCAGGGTCTGTACTGCATTCTGCACTTTTTCTGCTCCCTTAGCTTGCTGAGTAAACCTGGGTACAAGCATTCAGAATTCACACAGCAGAAAAGGAGCATGGGGAAAGCGCCTTTGTCCTGATAGCAATGCTGGCAACTCACACCCTCTCTGTAGGCACTGTGGCACAGCACACCAGAGTGCCATCTGGGCAGGTGTGGGGAGGGGAGGGGGGGCAGGGCAAAGCCCTTACAGCAGCTCCTCACTTGGGAGCTGCTCCTCCTGTGTGTCCCTTCCCACACAGACATCAGTGCTCCTTTCAATCACACATCAGTCATAACGTCCTCAGAACCCCCTACTTCTGCGCCCCTCCACTGGCATGCATGACTGTCACACCACACTCTACCCAGGCCACTCCAACCAAGCCAGGCCAGCATACCTGAGTATGGGTGCTGGCTCTCCTGTCTGTCAGCTTGACAACCTCCTCAGACTGCAGTTTCCTCCTCTGCAAAATGCCTCCTATTTCTGTGGTAAGAAAACACAGGATAGAAAATAATAGCACAATGCCTAGGCCTCGGTGAATGCTGGAGGAACGGGGCTTCCTCTCCCAGCTGAAAACGGGCTAGCTTTCAAGGTCCTGTCAGTTGTGTTACAGGAAGCCTTCCCCAAACCACAAACTCAAGTTTGGTCTAATCCAGTCTTATATATTTAGGGGTACACTTCTGAATTCCCCTAAGAGGACTGTAAGCCAACCCACTGCACTCCTCCTACCTGGGACATCTGTACCTGTGGTTCCCTCTGCCTGCCACACTCATGTTCACGCCCTCTCTTTGACCTCCCGCTGTCTGTGATGAATTCTAGTCATTTCATCCCCACTGCCCCCCTCATCCCCTCCTTCCCCTACAAGTCTCCTCCTACTTTCCTGTGTCTTGTGTGTGTGTGGGGCCCACGGAGCTTAATTAGAGCTGCTTGCATAAGAATGGGTGGGAGCAACCTAACAGTGGCCACTCCACTGAAGAAAGTGAGGATCCATTCCCCAGTAACCATTGTATGCCGAAGTTCAGGGAGGAGTGGGGCAACCTTCAGGTCTCCTAAGTGTCACCTGAGGGGGCCATTCCCTCACATCAACGCAGCACAATTGCACGCACCCTCCCTTCTTACCGCTCCCAACTCAATGCCAGCATTTACCACAACTGAGAAGGAAGGGCCATAGACTCGCTCAAGGTTGCCAGGTCATAAATAAGCAAGAGGTCTAAGCCCTGCCATTCCAGCTGGCGCGCCTGCTTGCTCTTTTAACTTTTCTTAAACAACAAAACTGTAGTCTAGAGCTGGAGAGATAGCTCAGTAACTAAAAGTGTGCACTGCTGTTTCACAGGGCCCAGGTTCAATTCCTAGTTACCCAGGTCAGGAGGCTCACGGTTTCCTGTAGCTCCAGCTGCAGGGTATCTACTGGACTCCACAGGCACCGGCACTTATGACACAGACTTACAAAAATAAAAGTGAAATAAATCTTTAAAAAAAATAGGGCGCTGAGCTCATGTCTGTAGTGGGTGGAAACAGTACATACGGCTCTGTGTCCTGAACGGACACAATGAGCACAAGACGCAGGAAGACTGTACTCCTTAAACCCCATCCAGTGGGGAATTAATGGGGCAGACCAGTTTGATTAGGAATATAAAAGCTACAGTTCTGCACCAAATCATCAGGCTAACGTTAGCCAAGTTTAGGTTTGTTTGGGATGACTCCCTGTGGTGGCTAATCTTGGTTGTCAACTCCACCATATCCTGGATCCACTAAACCCTAGGCCGCGGGGCACTCCTGTGAGGGATTTCCTTGATTGGATTATGCAAGGTCCAGGGCCCACCCTAAATCTGGACCACACCTTCTGGTGACAGCCTATATAAAAGGGCACAGAAGAAGGAAGCTTTTGCTTTTTGCCTGCGCGTTCCGACTCTCGATGGTAAGTTCTGAATCTCCTTCATATGATCTCATTCTGTCACTCTTGCCTGCTCCTCTAGCGAACCCTGACTAATTCACACCCTGGTCTGTCCAGCTGTTTATGTGAACTCTGGCACAGGACAGCTTCCCTTGCTGCCCTCAGAGACCCCCTGGAAGCCCTCCCCCTTGGAGACCTCTGGAGTCCAGGCTCCATCCCTAGATGATTCTGACCTGACCCCTGGAGAGAAGGCGCCTGAGGAGCCCCAAGGGCCAGGACCCACTCTCTGGACTTCTCTCACTGACGGCCATTCCCAGATTCTTTGGGGTAGAGAGTGTCCGGGCCCCTGCCCCTCCCTAGAGAAAAATAAAAATCCCAGCAAACCCCGAGCTTGCCCCAGGATCAGGCCGGCCTGGGAAGCCTCCTCTCCTCCCGCCAGAAACCCCATACAAACCCTGCCTTCTGCTCATTTCTTTGCTCTTCTCACTGGCGCAGAGGCAGCTGCCCTCCTGGGTTTTCCACACCCCCGGCAAAAATGTCTTGTGTGAGGACTGTTGTGTGATGTGACTTTGTGGTGTTCCTTGGCTCCTGAATAGCCAGGATACCTTTCCCTTCAGAGCTGTAACACACAAACACACCCCTGGCGGAGCAAGATTCCTTTTTTTTTGTTTGTTTGTTTGCTTTAGTTTCTCGAGACAGGCTATTTCTCTGTGTAGTCCTGACTGTCCTAGAAATAGCTCTGGAGACCAGGCTGGACTCAAACTGATCCGCCTGCCTCTGCCTCCTCAGCGCCGGGATTTAAGGGCCTCACTTTCTCGAGTGTTTTTGAATGACTTCGGGCTGAGGTTTCCTCACGATCGGTACGGCTGAGGAAGAACCTCTGCAGGGAAGGTGTCCCTTCTTCCCGTAGACTCTATTTTAACTTCAGAGAGAGGGCTCTGCGCAGGCGCGATGTGGCCATGTGCGGACCTGAACCCGCAGAGCGGGAGCCGCGCGACCCAGGGCTCGGGGTGTGCGGGGCAAGCAGCTGCTCGCACATCTTTTCAGAGCCGGGCCAGGGCTGCCGGAGAGGCCGGAGGCGCGCAGAGCGCGGAGCGAAGCTCGCACGCCCGGAACCCCGACCTGACTGAGGCGCCTCGACGCCCAGCGCTGCGGTGACAGCGGCCCCTGGCGGCGGCGGCGGCGAGGACTAACGGCTCGGCTCGCGGCGCTCCGGAAGTGACGTCGCAAAGGCGCCGCGCGGCCCTTAACCATGGCCCTCGAGGCCGCGGAGCGGCCGTCAGAGGAAACCCTGTTGCTCTGGGAACGGTAACGGGGTCGGGGCCCTGCAGTAGCCGCGGGGGGTGGCCTTCTCCAGGGTCCTTCCGACCTCACGGCCCCTGGGGCCGCTGTGGCACTGGACACCGGCGCTGCACCGCAGGCCTGGCGCGGGCCGCCAAGCTGCCGGAAGTTGCTGCCTGCCCTCGCTTCCGGTGCCGCAGTTGGGCTCGCGGAGCGCCTTCCTGCTCCGTTCTGGCTTGCTGGGCAAACGGGAGCGGGTTGCGCTGGAGGGGTGGCGCCCCGAGGGCCCCGAGCCCGCTTTGATGTTTGTGTCCTGCTAGGGAACAAGCCCGGCTGAAGACGCGCGTGGTGCCCAGGGACACGGAGGCCTGGCAGCGGGACCCCGCCTTCCCGGGCCTGCGGAGGGTCGGGGGCGTGGACGTGTCCTTCGTCCCGGGGGACAGTTCCCGGGCCTGCGCGTCCCTCGTGGTGCTGAGCTACCCAGAGCTCCAGGTAACCCGGTGGGACGTTGAGCCCTGTGCTGGTCACTCGTAGGCGAGGCACCCCAGGGTGGGGCTGGCTCCCAAGACAGGGTTCAGAGCCTGGGTGCAGTTTTGTAAAGTTTTTCTTCTCCACCCCCGCGCCCTGTGTTTAATCTACCCCCCCCCGTTTTTGATGCCAAAGTAAGCCTATCCAGGATCCCGAACATGCCAAGGGATCGATACACCCCCATTTCACTTGCAGAACTTAATGTATGGGGTGGAGTGTATTTTTAAAAGGCTAAAATACTGTAACTTTGAAGAGCTCAGTGGCTAGGAGCGAATGCTGTTGTTGCAGAGGATCCAGGTTCAGTTCCACCTCCCCCATCAGGCTGCCCCCAGCTGCGTTTAACTCCAGCTCCAGAAGATCGGTGCTGACTTCTGGTCCCTGTGGGCATCAGCATGCAGGTGGTGGACATAAACCCCCACAGACCCATACATAGCTACACAAATAATAAATTACAAATATTTCTTAAAGGATCAACAGACAATTCTAAGTCTGGCTATCTTGGTTTGCTCACCTCAGGGGCCCACAGCACATAATCACAGGCTGCCCAATCAGGGAGTCTCAGCCTCCCCAGGACTCCTGCTTCCGACCTGGTCTCACACTAGCTCCGTTTTTTAAATGATTTTTAATTTTTGAGCTAAAATAAAAAAATGTTTCCCATTGTTTTTATCATTCATGTCTTTTATTGTACTGTGTTCCCATTCTCCCCCAGACAGTACCCCCCATCTTTCCTCCCAATTCCGGGCCTTCTACCCGTTAAGTGTTGCTGGAGTCTGTCCCTCTGTTTGCCTGCCCCCCCCCACTGTCTATGCCACGGTCCTCCCTCCTGTAGGATAATGATCTGTTTCTTCATAGGTTTCTTGCTTCTAGTGTTGTCCCTTGGTTTCCATGGATAAGAGAGCATTTTTTGTAAGAAGTAGGTGTCATCCAGTAACAGGCCTTCTTAAAACTTCCTGCTGGGCATGATGGTACACACACCTGTAATCCTGGCACTCAGGAGGCTAAGGCAGGAGGAACAAAAGCTCAAGGCCAGCCTAGGCTACATGAGACCCTGTCAGAACAACAGAAAGCTTCAATGCCCCTCCATGATCTATGGCTAGTAAAGTTCATATTTGCTAATGGGACTTAGAGGCCGTTTTTGCTCTGTTTCTTGCTCGGTGTGACCCTGTTGGTCCACCTTCCCCCACTGTCCCCAGTCATTCCTAAACACAATTCTTCATAGCTTTAAATCCCTTTAATGGGGATCTGACGGCCTTTCTTTGTAGACATGCCTTCTCTCCTGGAGTGGTCTTCACTTGGTTGTCTCTGACTTCCTGAAGAGTCCAGTGTAGATAGTACTTACTCTGGTGAACTTCCTTCATCCCACATGCCCAGAGTTGTGTCTCAGAGACCGACAGACCAGAAGGCATCAGGCTAGGTAGTGTGTAAACACAGGCATTTCTCACCGTTGTGAAAGCTGGGAGTTCAAGGTCAGGGAGTAGAGTGAGACTGAGGTGCTGGTGAGACCTCCGGATCCAGACAGGCCCTTCTCCCTGTGTCCTCCTAGTGCCCCCCACTTACTTAAAGACCACAGCCATCCTGACCCTCTCAGCTCATACTGAAATGACTCAGCCTGTCTGCCTCTCCAGAGGGTAAATTCTGATGCCAGGAACCATGGCTTGCCCTGGTGTATGGAAGACACTCGGATGCTCTCTACATGGATGATGTGCACCAATGAGCAGTCAGCCTGTGGTTCATCTACAGTCTGCATCTCAGGAAGCCTTGGCCACACCCCAGCCTTAGCATTCCTAACACTGCTTCTCCAAAGGCAGCAGACTCTTCCTGACTCTGCCTTTGTGCCTTCCCCAGGCGGCCCCTCTAAGTCCCAGCTCAACACAAATGCAGGGTGCCCGCTGTGCTCGGAGCTGGGTGTGGCGGGGAGGAACTGGGACTTATCCTTAGGGGTCCCTGGCTGTTCTCTAAGATGGTGTGGGGGTAAGAGCAGAGGCTGCTGTGGATACCCTGGGTCTACCACTCCCCACCCTACCCCTCGGCCCTCTTTTTCCCTCTGGACTACTGAGAAAGATGGTCCTGTTTGTTTTTATTGTCACCTTGACACAATCTGGTGTCACCTAGAAAGAGGGAGCTTTAGTAGAAGAATTGCTTCAGATTGACCTGTGGCCATGTCTGTGAGAGATGGTCTTGACTGGTGATTGAGGTGAGAGGGCCCAGCCCACTGCCTCTAGGCAGGTGGGCCTGGCCTATAAAGAGCTGGCTGAATGAGCCAGTAAGCAACATTTCTCCGTGATTTTGCTTCAGTTCATGCTTGGGTTCCAACTCTGACTTCCCTCAGTGGTGGACTGTGACTTAAAGGTGTAAGTCGAAATAAGCCCTTTTCTCCCCAGGATGCTTCGGGCTGAGTATTTTATCACAGCAACAGAAAGGTGGTGGTATTAATGCCAATGCTTAAGTTTATATGGGAAGCAGCTGGCACAGAACACCATTGCCCAGCTCTGTCACTCTGCGGACTGAACTATTAAGTTCTCTCTCCAACCCCTCTTAAGTTCTGAGTCTAACCAAAGTTGATCATCACACTAAAGCTCAGCATGGTTTGGATAGGGTGTGACTGCTGTCTAGGACCAGGCTAATTTTCGGGGTGCAGGAAATGTTCTAAACATAGATGATGGGGCTGGAGAGATTGCTCAGCAGTTAAGAGCACTTGCTTTACAGAGGACCTGGGTACGCGGCACCCACACAGCATCTCACGGCTGTCTGTGACTCCAGTTCCAGGGCATTCCATGTCCTCTTCTGGCCTTCATGGGCAGCACGTACATGGTATGTTTACAGACATGCAGACAAAACACTCATACAATAAAAATAATAGTGGAAACACCAAAACTCATTGAATTACATACACACTTTGCAAATGAGTTTTTTAAAATGTAGTGTATCATAGTAAAGCTGCTAAACACAGTTCCAGAGCCACAGCCCCATTACTGGGGAAAGCCATCTCCCACAGTAGGTTTCCCATAAGCAAAGCTTGGTTGGAGAATTAGTGGTCTACCTTTACAATCAGGAATTGTTCTTTCAGCATCCTTGACAGGTGGTAGCCTCATGGGATAGCTCTGCCCATAACTGGCCATCTGTAGCCAGTGTGTCCTCCACACAGCAAAGCATAGGAGGGATGAGTGTTTCTCGCCTTCTACTGTTGGCCCCTTGCTGTTTGCTCTATCCCGAAGACCACAGTAACTTCTCTGCCTCCTTTGCTGTGGCCCCAGTGATGCTGTCGGCAGGATTCATCTTTGTATCTCAAACCTGGAAATAAACACAGTCCAGCAGTTATATTATAGTTCACCCCAGTGCAATTAGGGTCATGGATCCATCTCATGTCCACACTTATTTGTCTAAGTGCAGCTTAAGACACTGTTAGCATTTTAAAATTATTTTTGATATTACAATATAATTACAAAATTTCCTCTTTTCCTTTCCTCCCTTCAGGCCCTCCCATATACCTCATTCCTGCTTTCTGTATAATGTTATTTGTATGTATATAATTTCAGGCTTGACCGTTTATTTAACCAAATTGGTGTGCTCTTCCCTGGGGAGGACTTTTCTCCTGCTTTCAGCGTTCCTCATTTGCCTGTAATTCTTTGTCTGGGGTTGAGGCCTCCTGAGCTTTCCCCTATCCAAGTTAGCATGTCTGTTGGTGTCGTCCATGCTCAGGTCACTTAGGCAGCTCCAATGGTGAGAATTCATGGCTGCAGCTTCTGCATTTCTGGGAGACATTGTCTCATAGCCGACTCCTTGTTCTTCTGGCTCTCACAGTCTTTCCAGAGTCTCAGGTGCAGGAGTGTGCTGCAGCTGTGTCTACCGGCTGGGACTGGGGTCTACAGCAATGCATTTTGATCAGTTGTGCTTTTCTGTAGTGGTCTCATCTATTGCTATCTGAGTCAGAGTCTCAGCCCACTTGGAGTCGTTGGCAGACTTGAGAAGTTTTTTTCCTGAGTCATTGGTAAAAATGTTAGGCGTCAAAGCCCCAGCATCTAGTGGCCAGATTTCTAGGGTGCACTTAGGTACAGATCCAGCTGCAAGGGTCCATGGGAATTGCGATCTGGAAGCTGTCCTCAAGAGCCTGGGCAGGGGAGGGTTCTGAAGAACATGGACACAGCAGACCAGTGTGCCTGATGGAGGCCCGGCCCACAGTCAGGAGTTTGCCACACTGTGCTGCATGCAGAGCCCTGTCCTGAGCTCAGTTGGGTTTTAGCTGGCTACCTTCTGGTGCTGATAGAGTGCTTTTACTTTGGAAAGTAGTCTTTTTTTCTAGAGAAGACTTAAGAAAGGGAGCTGCCCTTTACAGAGCTCTCTGGGTTGTCCCCAGTTTCTCCTGAAGGCCATCTGGTCCCCTGCTTCCCCACAGATGCACAGGGCCTCCTGGCCTGAGTGCCACACCATGCTATATTAGGTTCAGCCTCAGAGTTTGTCTGCCTGAGTCCCCCACCCCAGTTTTTGGGGACTCTGTTTTGTAGCTTACCTGGCTCTGAAGGCATTCCTGTGCTGCCCCCATGGTCCTTCTGAGGTGCACACAGTACACCCAGGTTCACAGCCTGCTCTCCCAGGAGCTTCTGCTCTGAGCTTCCAGCACCCATGCAGGTGGTCAGCTCACACTGACAAGGAATGAGCCAGGTGGATGAGGGCCAGGGAGGCCTGAGCCTGGCCATCACCTCAGCCAGGCTCCTGATGAGATGAGACTTGGGGGTGTTGTTGCTCCTCGTACTCTAGACCCTAAGGGTATTCCCCTGTGTACACTGGGTCTTGGGGCTTCCTCATCTACACCAGGTCCCAAACAAGTACCTGTAAGATAAAATTCAAGTTGACTCCCCACCACCCTGTTGCAGGCAAATCATTTAGTCCTGTCTGTCAAACCTGGTCTCATCCTGGCCACAGGTGAGGCTGACATGAGAGCCATGGGTGGGAGGCAGAGGGATGGAGTGGAACAGGTGGGTGCAGCCATCTCTGTAGCAGTGGGCCTTGCTGGCAGGTGGTGTATGAGGACAGCCACATGGTTCGCCTGAAGGCCCCTTATGTGTCAGGCTTCCTGGCCTTCCGAGAGGTACCCTTCCTGGTGGAGTTGGTACAGCGGTTGCAGGAGAAGGAGCCAGGCCTCATGCCCCAGGTGGGTGTCTCCTAAGGTTAGGAGAACTCTGTGCTTGTGCTTGGGGGCGGGGGTCCCCTCAGGCCACTGCCACCCATAGGAGGAGGAAATGAGAGCCATCTGCAGCCATCTCCCCTTCTTGCTGCCCCGCAACAACCCAGCTGACTGACTCCCCTGTGGCTCTGTAGGTCCTGCTTGTGGATGGAAACGGGGTGCTTCACCAACGAGGTAATCCTAGAAGAGGGTCAGAGAGGGTGCTGTGGGGGAGTAGAGTGTTTTCCACCGAGAGGAGCCCCTGCTGTCACTCCACCTCTTTCTGACCACCCCCTTGCCTTCCACAAGACCCCACACTGGCTCATCCCCAGCACCTCATTTAGGGTGACCACATGACCTTAAGAGAGTTACAGGACTGAGCTTAGGTTAGCTCCATTCCCACACCAGCCCTGAGCTAGTCAGGCTTTGTCCCTATCCTTACCGGGACACCATGGCCTGAAGAAGGGCACAGTGGCACTCCCAAGTGGAGCGTGACGGTGGCTAGAAACCATGGGCCAGAGCCAAAGGATAGACACATGCTAATCTGGATACCAGTTCTGGGCCAGCCAGCCACTCCTGGGTGTATGGGACTAGCCTTTGCAGTCCAGGACACCTGACAAGGCCCAGACCGTAGGGGACAGATGCAGAGGCCTGAGGACAGCAGCAGATGGGGGTGAAGGGTTATGAGGATGCGCCATACTTACCATCCTGTCAGAGGAAGGCGGCTTCCTACACCCTGCCCTGGACACCTGAGAGGTCAGCACAGAGGCCTTGTTCATAGTCCAGTCAGCTTGGCTCCCGCTCAAGAGTCTGTACCTATGGATGAGAGAGTCCGGTTGGTTCCCACTCCCTTTGCTCCCTCTCAGGCTTTGGGGTGGCCTGCCACCTTGGTGTCACTCCCTTTGCTCCCTCGCAGGCTTTGGGGTGGCCTGCCACCTTGGTGTCCTTACAGATCTGCCCTGCGTCGGGGTGGCCAAGAAGCTCCTGCAGGTGGATGGGCTGGAGAACAACTCCCTGCACAAGGAGAAGGTGAGGAAGGCCTTGGACTCCCTGTGACTCGACTCAACCAGTGTGCACCTGTGTTAGCCTTGGGGCTAGGGCCCATGGCTTGGCCACCTCCTGGGGGCACCTTAGATTTAGCCTGGCCTGCTAGCACAGACCTCGCTTCCCTGGTTTCTTGCCCGGAAGAAGACCCACCTTTCCCTGGGCACTTCCTTCCATGTGCCTGTGGGCAGTTCATCTAGCAGTGGCTCATGGCCTCAGAAGCTTGCTGGGCCCTTCCCACCATGTTTGTGTCCCCCTTGTGTCTTGCCTCTGCCATGGCAGCACTCTTGGAGGGTCATGCTCTACAGTTCCTGGGGACATTCCGGGTTTCTCATCTCACCCTGCCCACCACCTCCCATGGTGCATGAGAGAAAGATGGCATGTGCCAGGGTTCAAGCAGAGGGGTTTATTACTATTATTATTATTATTATTATTATTATTGATGAGAGTGACATTGGCACAATGTTTATCCCATTGGGCAAGTTCCAAGAGCAGAGACCTCTTTCTGGCTCTCAGGAGCCTGTGTGGAGAGTGAGTTATCAACACCTGTAGAGCTGGGGGAGCCCAGGTCCTACTCATGGCAGCCTGGTCACTGGATGTCCTGCTCCTTCCCCATCCAAAGAAAGAGGGCCGTGAGTTGACTTGTGCCAGATTTCTAGCTGGAGTAAGCATCTAGGAGGTGGTAGCTTTAGCCTGGTCATGTACTGCTGTGCCCAATGGCACCTGTGTGCCCTTCTGCTATTTGGGGCCTTGGCAAACCACAACCCCTTCTCTGAGCCCAGTTACCAGGGTAGGTGAACCTCATGCAGTGACCTTAGCACAGTTGGCAACATACTCAGTACCGCCTCAGAGCTGTGGCCCTGCTCGGGGAAGGTTCCCAAACAAAGTGAGGCCCTCTCCTCACTGCTTAGATTTTTTAAAATGAAGTTTGCCAGGCTGGAGAGATAGCTTAATGGTTAAAAATATGTAACGCTCAGGTGGGCAGTGGTGGCACACTCCTTTAATCCCAGCACCCAGGTGGCAGAGGCAGTCGGATCTCTGTGAGTTTGAGGCCAGCCTGGTCTACAGAGTGAGTTCTAGGACAACCTCCAAAGCCACACAGAGAAACCCTGTCTTGAGAAAAAGACAAAATAAAAATGTTCTGCTCTTGCAGAGGACCCAAGTTGGGTTCGCAGCACCTGTGACAACCAGATGTAACTCTAGCTCCAGGCAGTCTGATGCCTCTGGCCTCTACGGCACCTGCACTCACATGTATACACCTGCACAGACTCACACACATACACATAATTCTAAAATACAACCTTTTAAAGAATGGCGCTTGCCTTCAGCCATTTTAGAAGGGACAGTGGTTGGGGGATGGCTCGGGCAATAAAGAGCTTGTCTTGAACACAAAGACTTGAGATTGATTGAAAAGCGTTGAGCCTGGTGGCCCCAGCTTAATACCCCGGCACCAGAGAGGCAGAGAAAGGGGGTTCCTTGGTGAGCTTCAGGCCAATAGGAGACACCTCAAAGCAGGCACATGATCCTGAGGGTGACATACTCAAGCCTGGCTGAGACTGGCCTTGAACTCACAGAGATCTTGTGTGTGTGTGTGTGTGTGTGTGTGTGTGTGTGTGTGTGTGTGTGTGTGTGTGTCCCGTCTCTAGTGCTGAGATGAAAGGTGTGCACTAGCATGCCTGCTGTACACATTTTTAAAGAGGTGTGTGTACAGTTGTTCTTTTCTTTGTTTCTCAGATAGTGCTCCTCCAGTCTGGGGGAGACACGTTTCCTCTGATGGGCAACTCTGGGACTGTCCTGGGAATGGTGAGTGGCCCAAACTCTGTGCCCTGCCCAGACTCTGGGGTCCATTAGACCACGCCACAAGGCATCCCCTGTACACATGGGTGTGTGCAGGCTGGAGCCTGTCTTCCACATATCCTCCCACCAACCAGAGTATGCTGTGCCACTCACTCCTCTGGCTCTACTCACCCCGTGTGCCTCTGGAGATGCCTGCGCCCTATAAACTCCTCCCGCAACCCAGGACACCCTCAGACTGGCCTCAGCCACAGGAGTGTGCCCCCGTCACGTTTGTCCTCCTTCACCCACAGGCCCTGAAGAGCCATGACCACAGCACCAAGCCCCTCTATGTCTCTGTGGGCCACAGAATAAGCCTGGAGGTGGCTGTGCGCCTGACCCACCACTGCTGTAGGTTCCGGATCCCAGAGCCCATACGCCAGGTATGGGGCCAGGGGTTGGGGGATCGACACTGCCACCCAGTCTCACTTGGGGTGGGTCTCTGCAGGGATCTGAGGACAGGTCCCCAGGCCCCTGTCTAGAGAGCCTGGTGAAGCTAACTGGGCACTGAAGGCAGGAGTGTCGAGCAGAGGTTGCTTCACTTGGGAATTCTCGCTACTGTGCCTGCTGCCTTGCTAAGCCTCCTACACCTGGCACAACAGTGCAGACAGCAGAGCAGCTCGTCTTTCTAAAGCCAGGGCGTCTCAGGCAGGACCAGCGGGGAGTCAGAGGCTCTACAGGGTCATTCTATGGTTACATTGAGGAGGCTTGTGCTGGTGCCAAGGACACCGGTGAGGACAGATCCCAGGGCATGGCTCTGCCAGGTATCCATCCCCATTCTGCTCTTCAGGCCCCAGAGGCTTGGCACTCTGATAAATCAGTCATCTCGGAGGCCTGCGGGAAAGCAACATGCAACTGCAATCCCAACATGTACAGGTCACCCTTCTGTATCATCCCCACACGATGGTGCCTGTCCAACAGCGGCCCATAGGTTGAGAACCCAGGAAAGGTGCCCGCTTTCCTTTTTTTTTTTTTTTTTTTTTTTTTTTTTTGAAAAGGGTTTTTTTGCGTTTCTCTTCCT